AGTGTGTAGTGGTAAACTCTGATCACTCTCTAACGCTCCATTATACTTTTAATTCATTTTTCTGAAAAAGGTGGGTAAACGGCGTTTACCCCCCAGTAGGCCTACACTGACGGTAGTCTACCCTTTCAGCCAAGGCTATTTTAAACACACGAACACACACACAGAATAGGTAGCCTACATTCAATATAATACATGAGTTGAATCAAAGTACAGTACAACGTTTATTTTCATTGGCGATTTTCTGCATTTATCAAAAGTCCCATCGGTAGCCTGATTTCAGATGTGTCCATGTAAACAGGATTATTAGGGAAATAATTATTCTTGTAAAGCATGTAAACGTTTTAAACAAACTATTATATTAACATGACTATCCACAATAATCGCGTTATTGTGTGTATGTAACCGTGCTCATTGATAGCCTGAAATGGCTTCTTCGTAGCTTGTTATGAGGTTGGGAGATTGGGAACCTATCTGGGCTAGCTAAAGTTAACTTAATAAAATTGGTAGGTGGCTAGTTGTATTACATAGAAACAACAACAACATGTAATGGACATGATGCCTCTAATGGGAAGAGAGAAAGTATTGTATCTACTGAATACCAGTTAGTCTCCATTCATTTAAAAGTAAGGCTTTGTAAACCTGTTTAGGCGTATGGCGTGATTCACAGTATGGTGTGATCCACACAGGTGTATCATGCCACTGGTTAAGGGGCGTGATCCTTGCACTCATCACGGTTACTTTGTGTGCCATAATCTTCTCTAGATTACACCATCAGTGAGTCATGTTGGGTTAGGGAAGCACCTAGAAGAAGCTGCAGAGGGCAGTGCCTCTCAGCCCTAACTGGATTCATGTAAGGAGTGGTGTGACAATTCATTTCCTCATTGTTGAATTTGTCATTGAGTTGTCATTTTAATAGGAATAGCCTTTACACTATTGTCAATGTAGGCCTAATATGTGGTTAATAACTCATGAGTATCAATAAGTAGGCTGTCATAGCCCTGTCTGAGATGCCTGGTCATAGTAGCCTGGGTTGTCCCTCTGCAATCTGCACACTATAACAGAACAGGACATAATGTCCTGGCCTGTAGATCATATGTTCCTTCCCAGACACAGACCTGATGATTTGTTGTTGTGCCTTCTGAGAGGTCTCTGACGTCACTGTGAATGCTGCACCGTTTCTGTTCTTGATTTGGATAATGCAAACCATTAGCTAGACTAGGTCTGAGAGACTGTCTCTTTGTCTTGTTGTGTTCATATCGCACTGTAGTTACATTGAGGGAAAAAAGTATTTGATCCCCTGCTGATTTTGTACGTTTGCCCACTGACAAAGACATGATCAGTCTATAATTTTAATGGTAGGTTTATTTGAACAGTGAGAGACAGAATAACAACAACAAAATCCAGAAAAACGCATGTCAAAAATGTTATAAATTGATTTGCATTTTAATGAGGGAAATAAGTATTTGAGCCCTCTGCAAAACATGACTTAGTACTTGGTGGCAAAACCCTTGTTGGCAATCACAGAAGTCAAACGTTTCTTGTAGTTGGCCACCAGGTTTGCACACATCTCAGGAGGGATTTTGTCCCACTCCTCTTTGCAGATCTTCTCCAAGTCATTAAGGTTTCGAGGCTGACGTTTGGCAACTCGAACCTTCAGCTCCCTCCACAGATAGGCCACTCCAGGACCTTAATGTGCTTCTTCTTGAGCCACTCCTTTGTTGCCTTGGCCGTGTGTTTTGGGTCATTGTCATGCTGGAATACCCATCCATGACCCATTTTCAATGCCCTGGCTGAGGGAAGGAGGTTCTCACCCAAGATTTGACGGTACATGACCCCGTCCATCGTCCCTTTGATGCGGTGAAGTTGTCATGTCCCCTTAGCAGAAAAACACCCCCAAAGCATAATGTTTCCACCTCCATGTTTGACGGTGGGGATGGTGTTCTTGGGGTCATAGGCAGCATTCCTCCTCCTCCAAACACGGCGAGTTGAGTTGATGCCAAAGAGCTCGGTTTTGGTCTCATCTGACCACAACACTTTCACCCAGTTCTCCTCTGAATCATTCAGATGTTCGTTGGCAAACTTCAGACGGCCCTGTATATGTGCTTTCTTGAGCAGGGGGACCTTGCGGACGCTGCAGGATTTCAGTCCTTCACAGCGTAGTGTGTTACCAATTGTATTCTGGGTGACTATGGTCCCAGCTGCCTTGAGATCATTGACTAGATCCTCCCGTGTAGTTCTGGGCTGATTCCTCACCGTTCTCATGATCATTGCAACTCCACGAGGTGAGATCTTGCATGGAGCCCCAGGCCGAGGGAAATTGACAGTTCTTTTGTGTTTCTTCCATTTGCGAATAATCGCACCAACTTTTGTCACCTTCTCACCAAGCTGCTTGGCGATGGTCTTGTAGCCCATTCCAGCCTTGTGTAGGTCTACAATCTTGTCCCTGACATCCTTGGAGAGCTCTTTGGTCTTGGCCATGGTGGAGAGTTTGGTATCTGATTGATTGATTGCTTCTGTGGACAGTTGTCTTTTATACAGGTAACAAGCTGAGATTAGGAGTGCTCCTAATCTCAGCTCGTTACTTGTATAAAAGACACCTGGGAGCCAGAAATCTTTCTGATTGAGAGGGGGTCAAATACTTATTTCCCTCATTAAAATGCAAATCAATTTATAACATTTTTGACATGCGTTTTTCTGGATTTTTTTGTTGTTATTCTGTCTCTCACTGTTAAAATAAAACGACCATTAAAATTATAGACTGATCATGTCTTTGTCAGTGGGCAAACGTACATAATCAGCAGGGGATCAAATACTTTTTTCCCCTCACTGTATACAGTGTATCCGATCTAAAATCCGCTTGTCATCAACAGACCTAGGCTTCATCCATGAGCTTCCTCACCTACCATAAGACACTGACACATCAGCTTAGCTGTCTGGGTTAGGGAAAAACTTTCACATCTATCAAGGAAGCCACAGATCATCACGGCTATGAATTTAACAGGGTCCCTCCTCTGTGAAGGGGGAATTGTGATTGAGAATAAGTTGGTATTTGTCTCCTGATTTATGAAGTCAGTTGTGTTTTATCTACAACAACAACCACAACTTTGAGAACTGTGCTGCATGGCCTTTAGTAGTGCATGTTGGATTTGGAATGACCCTCAGATCCCCCCAGTCTCTAAACTAGGCCTATCTATTTCAACCTAGAGGCCTACTGTGCAAAGAGCTGGGAACACTGCCGCTACCTCTCCCTTCAACCAACGGACATTAATAATAGTAGGGCTGGAAACACTGCCGCTACCTCTCCCTTCAACCAAGGGACATTAATAATAGTAGGGCTGGAAACACTGCCGCTACCTCTCCCTTCAACCAAGGGACATTAATAATAGTAGGGCTGGAAACACTGGCGCTACCTCTCCCTTCAACCAAGGGACATTAATAATAGTAGGGCTGGAAACACTGCCGCTACCTCTCCCTTCAACCAAGGGACATTAATAATAGTAGGGCTGGAAACACTGCCGCTACCTCTCCCTTCAACCAAGGGACATTAATAATAGTAGGGCTGGAAACACTGCCGCTACCTCTCCCTTCAACCAAGGGACATTAATAATAGTAGGGCTGGAAACACTGGCGCTACCTCTCCCTTCAACCAAGGGACATTAATAATAGTAGGACTGGAAACACTGGCGCTACCTCTCCCTTCAACCAAGGGACATTAATAATAGTAGGGCTGGAAACACTGCCGCTACCTCTCCCTTCAACCAAGGGACATTAATAATAGTAGGGCTGGAAACACTGCCGCTACCTCTCCCTTCAACCAACGGACATTAATAATAGTAGGGCTGGAAACACTGCCGCTACCTCTCCCTTCAACCAACGGACATTAATAATAGTAGGGCTGGAAACACTGGCGCTACCTCTCCCTTCAACCAAGGGACATTAATAATAGTAGGGCTGGAAACACTGGCGCTACCTCTCCCTTCAACCAAGGGACATTAATAATAGTAGGACTGGAAACACTGGCGCTACCTCTCCCTTCAACCAAGGGACATTAATAATAGTAGGGCTGGAAACACTGCCGCTACCTCTCCCTTCAACCAAGGGACATTAATAATAGTAGGGCTGGAAACACTGCCGCTACCTCTCCCTTCAACCAACGGACATTAATAATAGTAGGGCTGGAAACACTGCCGCTACCTCTCCCTTCAACCAAGGGACATTAATAATAGTAGGGCTGGAAACACTGCCGCTACCTCTCCCTTCAACCAACGGACATTAATAATAGTAGGGCTGGAAACACTGGCGCTACCTCTCCCTTCAACCAAGGGACATTAATAATAGTAGGGCTGGAAACACTGGCGCTACCTCTCCCTTCAACCAAGGGACATTAATAATAGTAGGGCTGGAAACACTGCCGCTACCTCTCCCTTCAACCAAGGGACATTAATAATAGTAGGGCTGGAAACACTGGCGCTACCTCTCCCTTCAACCAAGGGACATTTAATAATAGTAGGGCTGGAAACACTGCCGCTACCTCTCCCTTCAACCAAGGGACATTAATAATAGTAGGGCTGGAAACACTGGCGCTACCTCTCCCTTCAACCAAGGGACATTTAATAATAGTAGGGCTGGAAACACTGCCGCTACCTCTCCCTTCAACCAAGGGACATTTAATAATAGTAGGGCTGGAAACACTGGCGCTACCTCTCCCTTCAACCAACGGACATTAATAATAGTAGGGCTGGAAACACTGGCGCTACCTCTCCCTTCAACCAAGGGACATTAATAATAGTAGGGCTGGAAACACTGCCGCTACCTCTCCCTTCAACCAAGGGACATTAATAATAGTAGGGCTGGAAACACTGGCGCTACCTCTCCCTTCAACCAAGGGACATTAATAATAGTAGGGCTGGAAACACTGCCGCTTCCTGAATAGAGGAGCAAACTGAAGTCAAGAGTACAGAGGAAGTTCATTAAAAAGCTTTATTGTTAAAAGTAAAACCATGGTTTGGCTCTTGGCCTTCATCAGGGAGGCATACTTTACCCATGATGACATGCAAACCATGCTGAATGATGACATGCAAACCATGCTGAATGATGACATGCAAACCATGCTGAATGATGACATGCAAACCATGCTGAATGATGACATGCAAACCATGCTGAATGATGACATGCAAACCATGCTGAATGTCGGTCTGTAATTATGAGCAGGTTATGTTGATGTGAAGAGGAAAGGATCCGTCAATAGGCTTTCATCATTCTCTCCTTATCGCTCTTTGGCACTGTGGGGGTTAATCATGTCTGAATTTCTGAATCGGATCCATTTCCAGGGAGTTACTAATTACTGTCCAATTTACCCTGGAACTCAGGCTAGTGCCTCCCAGTTGGCACTGGCACCCTATTTAATCCCTAATGGTACACTACTTTTGACTAGGGCCCATAGGCTCTGGTCCCCTGGTCTAAAGTAGTGTACCATAAAGGGGAACAGAGGCTCTGGTCCCCTGGTCTAAAGTAGTGTACCATAAAGGGGCCCAGAGGCTCTGGTCCCCTGGTCTAAAGTAGTGTACCATAAAAGGGAACAGAGGCTCTGGTCCCCTGGTCTAAAGTAGTGTACCATAAAAGGGAACAGAGGCTCTGGTCCCCTGGTCTAAAGTAGTGTACCATAAAGGGAACAGAGGCTCTGGTCCCCTGGTCTAAAGTAGTGCCCCATAAAGGGAACAGAGGCTCTGGTCTCCTGGTCTAAAGTAGTGTACCATAAAGGGAACAGAGGCTCTGGTCCCCTGGTCTAAAGTAGTGTACCATAAAGGGGAACAGAGGCTCTGGTCCCCTGGTCTAAAGTAGTGTACCATAAAGGGAACAGAGGCTCTGGTCCCCTGGTCTAAAGTAGTGCACCATAAAGGGAACAGAGGCTCTGGTCTCCTGGTCTAAAGTAGTGTACCATAAAAGGGAACAGAGGCTCTGGTCCCCTGGTCTAAAGTAGTGTACCATAAAGGGCCCATAGGCTCTGGTCCCCTGGTCTAAAGTAGTGCCCCATAAAGGGAACAGAGGCTCTGGTCTCCTGGTCTAAAGTAGTGTACCATAAAGGGAACAGAGGCTCTGGTCCCCTGGTCTAAAGTAGTGTACCATAAAAGGGCCCAGAGGCTCTGGTCTCCTGGTCTAAAGTAGTGTACCATAAAGGGAACAGAGGCTCTGGTCCCCTGGTCTAAAGTAGTGTACCATAAAGGGAACAGAGGCTCTGGTCCCCTGGTCTAAAGTAGTGCCCCATAAAGGGAACAGAGGCTCTGGTCCCCTGGTCTAAAGTAGTGTACCATAAAAGGGAACAGAGGCTCTGGTCCCCTGGTCTAAAGTAGTGTACCATAAAAGGGAACAGAGGCTCTGGTCCCCTGGTCTAAAGTAGTGTACCATAAAGGGAACAGAGGCTCTGGTCCCCTGGTCTAAAGTAGTGCCCCATAAAGGGAACAGAGGCTCTGGTCTCCTGGTCTAAAGTAGTGTACCATAAAAGGGAACAGAGGCTCTGGTCCCCTGGTCTAAAGTAGTGTACCATAAAGGGCCCATAGGCTCTGGTCCCCTGGTCTAAAGTAGTGCCCCATAAAGGGAACAGAGGCTCTGGTCTCCTGGTCTAAAGTAGTGTACCATAAAGGGAACAGAGGCTCTGGTCCCCTGGTCTAAAGTAGTGTACCATAAAAGGGCCCAGAGGCTCTGGTCTCCTGGTCTAAAGTAGTGTACCATAAAGGGAACAGAGGCTCTGGTCCCCTGGTCTAAAGTAGTGTACCATAAAGGGAACAGAGGCTCTGGTCCCCTGGTCTAAAGTAGTGCACCATAAAGGGAACAGAGGCTCTGGTCCCCTGGTCTAAAGTAGTGTACCATAAAAGGGAACAGAGGCTCTGGTCCCCTGGTCTAAAGTAGTGTACCATAAAGGGGAACAGAGGCTCTGGTCCCCTGGTCTAAAGTAGTGTACCATAAAGGGAACAGAGGCTCTGGTCCCCTGGTCTAAAGTAGTGTACCATAAAAGGGAACAGAGGCTCTGGTCCCCTGGTCTAAAGTAGTGTACCATAAAGGGGAACAGAGGCTCTGGTCCCCTGGTCTAAAGTAGTGTACCATAAAGGGAACAGAGGCTCTGGTCCCCTGGTCTAAAGTAGTGTACCATAAAAGGGAACAGAGGCTCTGGTCCCCTGGTCTAAAGTAGTGTACCATAAAGGGAACAGAGGCTCTGGTCTCCTGGTCTAAAGTAGTGTACCATAAAGGGAACAGAGGCTCTGGTCCCCTGGTCTAAAGTAGTGTACCATAAAAGGGAACAGAGGCTCTGGTCCCCTGGTCTAAAGTAGTGTACCATAAAGGGAACAGAGGCTCTGGTCCCCTGGTCTAAAGTAGTGTACCATAAAAGGGAACAGAGGCTCTGGTCCCCTGGTCTAAAGTAGTGTACCATAAAAGGGAACAGAGGCTCTGGTCCCCTGGTCTAAAGTAGTGTACCATAAAGGGAACAGGGTGCCATTTGGGACACCGCCTGCATGTCTGATTCGGATCCACATCCAGCAGCCTGGTCTCATAGACCAGACGTAACATGGTAAATGTAAATAGGATCCAAACAGTATGATATAATAATAATAATAATAATAATAATAATATGATATGTTACGTTTGGTCTGGTTACATAAGACTTAAGACTCTAGCAACCCAAACGTTGCGAGTTCGAATCTCATCACGGACAACTTTAGCATTTTAGTTAATTAGCAACTTTTCAACTACTTAGCATGTTAGCCAACCCTTCCCCTAACCTTAACCCTTTTAGTTAACCCTTCCCCTAACCTTAACCCTTTTAGTTAACCCTTCCCCTGACCTTAACCCTTTTAGCTAACACTTCCCCTAACCTTAACCCTTTTAGCTAACCCTTCCCCTGACCTTAACCCTTTTAGCTAACCCTTCCCCTGACCTTAACCCTTTCCCTAACCTTAACCCTTTTAGCTAACCCTTCCCCTTTCCCTAACCTTAACCCTTTTAGCTAACCCTTCCCCTTCCCCTAACCTTAACCCTTTTAGCTATCCCTTCCCCTGACCTTAACCCTTTCCCTAACCTTAACCCTTTTATCATACGTTTTGCAAATTCATCATGTAATACGAAATGGGTGATGGACATCCACAATTTTAATACATACGAAACGTAACATATCATACCAAATGGACTGTCCCGGATTTACATACAGAATAATACGAAATGCTTTGAGACCAGGTTGCTTCCAGGGAGCTACTAGTTATTGTCCAAATGACCCTTGAACTGGCGTGTAACTCCTGTCTCTGTCTTCACAGCGTTCATACAGTCAGACACAATCCTCGAGGTGCTACACTTTGGAGAAGGAGGACGCCTCTTACAGGTAAGCCACAGTTCATCTCTTTAAGCAGCCAGTTAACCTTTTGTTGAAACACTTGTTACTTTTATGACTGGAGGGTCCTCTGTGTTTGTTCCGGCTCAGTAAAGCTGTCTGTTATTGTGTAGTAGGACTATGCTATGGGTATAAAAAACAGAACCAAATACCACCCTATCCTTTACCTGGCTACCCAGACTCCTTGCTCCTGCCAAACGCTAGGCCACGCCCGCATTCGTTTCTTCTCCTCAAGGAGTCTGGATCTGAGTATCCTTCACCGAATGCCAACACGTTCAGGACTGGTCTGACTGGTCCAGAAACCGATGGTTTGGGCCAGAGCCAGAACACACGTGGGTAAAGAGGTGGTTTTGAAAATGTGTCATTGGCTTTGATACTCTGATAGGTCAGAGACGATCCAATCGCCGATGACTTTGTTTTGTACTCGTCACCACCAACGACTTCAATGATGGCAGTCTCAGACTGAAGTATGTAGAGCAGAACCACAGAGCAGCAGAACTATTTAGTGTGAGTAGTCAGGCTACCCTATTCTAGAGCATTACTTTGGACCAGAACCTTTACAGTCTGTATATCAGCTATAGGGTGCTGTTCTAGAGCATTACTTTGGACCAGAGCCTTTACAGTCTGTATATCAGCTATAGGGTGCTGTTCTAAAGCATTACTTTGGACCAGAGCCTTTAGTCTGTATATCAGCTATAGGGTGCTGTTCTAGAGCATTACTTTGGACCAGAACCTTTACAGTCTGTATATCGGCTATAGGGTGCTGTTCTAGAGCATTACTTTGGACCAGAACCTTTACAGTCTGTATATCGGCTATAGGGTGCTGTTCTAGAGCATTACTTTGGACCAGAACCTTTACAGTCTGTATATCGGCTATAGGGTGCTGTTCTAGAGCATTACTTTGGGACCAGAACCTTACAGTCTGTATATCAGCTATAGGGTGCCGTTCTAGAGCATTACTTTGGACCAGAACCTTTACAGTCTGTATATCAGCTATAGGGTGCCGTTCTAGAGCATTACTTTGGACCAGAACCTTTACAGTCTGTATATCAGCTATAGGGTGCTGTTCTAGAGCATTACTTTGGACCAGAACCTTTACAGTCTGTATATCAGCTATAGGGTGCTGTTCTAGAGCATTACTTTGGACCAGAACCTTTACATTCTGTATATCAGCTATAGGGTGCTGTTCTAGAGCATTCCTTTGGAACCAGACCTTTACAGTCTGTAGATTCAGCCTTAGGTGCTGTTTTCTAGAGCATTACTTTGGAACAGAACCTTTACAGTCTGTATAATCAGCTATAGGGTGCCCGGTTCTAGAGCAATTACTTTGGACCAGGCCTTTACAGTCTGTATATCAGGCTATAGGTGCTGTTCTATACATTACTTTGGACCTACCTTTACAGTCTGTATATCAGCTATATGGTGCCGTTCTAGAGCATTACTTTGGAACAGAACCTTTCCGTCTGGTATTCAGCTATAGGGTGGCCGTTTCTAGAGCATTACTTTGGACCAGTAACCCTCTGGGCACTACATAGGAATAGGGTGCATTCTCTGGTCTAAGTCGGGGCACTATATAGGAATAAGAGGGTGCCCTTCTCTGGTCTAAGTTAGGGCACTATATAGTGGTCTAAAGAGTGGCACTACATAGGGAATAGGGTGCCTTTTGGGACGCAGGCATGGCTTAATTTAGACCAGCAGAAAGAAGCACCGCTAGATAGTAGATTTAACTGGCCTACACTGGATTTAGCTCACTTGGCAGCATCACAAAGACTCCCACTCATTAATACAGAAGGACACTCACCTCCACTGACTCAGAGAGATGCCCTGCCAGTGGGAATACTGCTAATGTAAAGACTGTAAAGATATTTTTAGGTTCATACAGTCTATATCCAGTCACTCACATCAACTTGTGTTTCACACCCTCACACTTTAAAGCCAAGATGTCTTGCATATCATACTACATTCTCCTGATTTTAACAAGTTTTGTATTTTGAACATAAACTTGTTGCCTTTCAGAAGCTTTACTAAAACGTATCGTGATTGTTTTCTTCTCTTTGCAGACAGAGTCTGACATTGATCTTAGTTTATTTAACAGAAAAAGGTAAGTTGTCTATTTTTTGTCTCTCTTCAATCCAATGTGCTGCCCCCAATTATCCAGTTGGTCTACAGACAGACAGATCCCAGCATGTGTTTCACATTAGAAAGGCCATGCGATGCCTGTTGTGGGACGTGAATCTGCCATTTAGATTTACATTTACATTTTAGTCATTTAGCAGACGCTCTTATCCAGAGCGACTTACAGTTAGTGAATACATATATATATATATATATATATATATATATATATATATTTTTTTTTTTAAATATATACTGGCCCCCCGTGGGAATCGAACCCACAACCCTGGTGTTACAAACGCCATGCTCTATCAACTGAGCTACATCCCTGGATAAATGACCTGGCTTGTTACCGTGCTTGTTACTGGACTTGTGAATCTGCAATTAGATAGATTACCTGATGCATGGACCGCCTTCACAAAAAAAAGATTGCAGTTTTGAAACTGCAGTAACTGCAGTCGCTTGTGGTATTTTGGATACAGTATTTGCAGCATCAGTTATACTGCACTCTATCGGCAATCTTTTTTCATAAGGGCGGTTTGAGTTTTTACTTTACCTTCTATAACAGTATTTTAATGTTTGGTTTGTTAAATGTAATGAGCAACTCCGCCGCGTATCATGTCAGTTTTTATAGTTGACTCTGTTTGCTCCTTGAGTCATCTCTCCCCCTCTGTATGTGCTGAATACAACAGGTGCAGACATTACAGTGAAATGCTTACTTACAGCCCTTAACCAACAATGCATTTATTGTTTAATAAAAAAAGTAAAATAAAATAAAACAACAACAAAAAAGTGTTGAGAAAAAAAGAGCAGAAGTAAAATAAAATAACTGTAGGGAGGCTATATATACAGGGGGGTACCGGTGCAGAGCCAATGTGCGGGGGCACCGGCTAGTTGAGGTAGTTGAAGTAATATGTACATGTGGATAGAGTTAAAGTGACTATGCATAAATAATTAACAGAGTAGCAGCAGCGTAAAAAGATGGGGTGGGGGGGGGGGGGGCAGTGCAAATAGTCCGGGTAGCCATGATTAGCTGTTCAGGAGTCTTATGGCTTGGGGGTAGAAGCTGTTGAGAAGTCTTTTGGACCTAGACTTGGCACTCCGGTACCGCTTGCCGTGCGGTAGCAGAGAGAACAGTCTATGACTAGGGTGGCTGGAATCTTTGACAATTTTGAGGGCCTTCCTCTGACACCGCCTGGTATAGAGGTCCTGGATGGCAGGAAGCTTTGCCCCAGTGATGTACTGGGCCGTACGCACTACCCTCTGTAGTGCGTTGCGGTCGAGGCCAAGCAGTTGCCATACCAGGCGGTGATGCAACCAGTCAGGATGCCTACGATGGTGCAGCTGTAGAATTTTTTGAGGATCTGAGGACCCATGCCAAATCTTTTCAGTCTCCCGAGGGGGAATAGGCTTTGTCGTGCCCTCTTCAAGACTGTCTTGGTGTGTTCGGACCATGATAGTTCAAGGAACTTTAAGCTCTCAACCTGTTCCACTACAGCCCCGTAGATGAGAATGGGGGCGTGCTCAGTCCTCTTTTTTTTTCTCCTGTAGACCACAATCAACTCCTTTGTCTGGGTCACGTTGAGGGAGAGGTTGTTATCCTGGCACCACACGGCCAGGTCTCTGACCTCCTCCCTATAGGCTGTCTCGTCGTTGTCAGTGATCAGGCCTACCACTGTTGTCTCATCGGCAAACTTAATGATGGTGTTGGAGTCGTGCCTGGCCATGCAGTCATGGGTGAACAAGGGGTACAGGAGGGGACTGAGCACGCACCCCTGAGGGGCCCCCGTGTTGAGGATCAGTGTGGCAGATGTGTTGTTACCTACCCTTACCACCTGGGGGCGGCCCGTCAGGAAGTCCAGGATCCAGTTGCAGAGGGAGGTGTTCAGTCCCAGGGTCCTTAGCTTAGTGATGAGCTTTGAGGGGACTATGGTGTTGAATGCTGAGCTGTAGTCAATGAATAGCATTCTCACTTAGGTGTTCCTCTTGTCCAGGTGGGAAAGGGCAGTGTGGAGTGCAATAGAGATTGCATCAGCTGTGGATCTGTTGGGGCAGTATGCAAATTGGAATGGGTCTAGGGTTTCTGGGATAATGGTGTTGATGTGAGCCATGACCAGCCTTTCAAAGCACTTCATGGCTACAGACGTGAGTGTTACGGGTCGGTAGTCATTTAGGCAGGTTATCTTAGTGTCCTTGGGCACGGGGACTATGGTGGTCTGCTTGAAACATGTTGGTATTACAGACTCAGTCAGGGACATGTTGAAAATGTCAGTGAAGACACTTGCCAGTTGGTTAGCATATGCTCGGAGTACACGTCCTGGTAATCCGTCTGGCACTGCAGCCTTGTGAATGTTGACCTGCTTAAAAGTCTTACTCACATTGGCTACGGAGAGCGTGATCACATAGTCATCCAGAACAGCTGGTGCTCTCATGCATGCTTCAGTGTTGCTTGCCTCGAAGCGAGCGTAGAAGTGGTTTAGCTCGTCTGGAAGTATTGTGTCACTGGGCAGCTCGCGGCTGTGCTTCCCTTTGTAGTCTGTAATAGTTTTCAAGCCCTGCCACATCCGACGAGCGTCAGAGCCAGTGTAGTACGATTCAATCTTAGGTCTGTATTGACTCTTTGCCTGTTTGATGGTTCGTCGGAGGGCATAGCAGGATTTCTTATAAGCGTCCGGGGTTAGAGTCCCGCTCCTTGAAAGCGGCAGCTCAACCCTTTAGCTCAGTGCAGATGTTGCCTGTAATCCATGGCTTCTGGTTGGGGTATGTACGTACGGTCACTGTGGGGATGACGTCATCGATGCACTTATTGATGAAGCCAGTGTCTGATGTGGCGTACTCCTCAATGCTATCTGAAGAATCCCGGAACATGTTCCAGTCTGTGCTAGCGAAACAGTCCTGTAGCTTAGCATCTGCGTCATCCTAACTGACCTAAAACAGGGAATTTTTACTAGGATTAAATGTCAGGAATTGTGAAAAACTTGAGTTTAAATGTATTTGGCTTCAACTGTACATACAGTACCAGTCAAAAGTTTGGACACACCTACTCATCCAAGGGTTGTTCTACATTGTAGAATAATAGTGAAGACATCAAAACTATGAAATAACACATATGGAATCATGTAGTAACCAAAAAAGTGTTAAACAAATCAAAATGTGTTTTATAGCCACCCTTTGCCTTGATGACAGCTTTGCACACTCTTGGCATTCTCTCAACCAGCTTCACCTGGAATGCTTTTCCAACAGTCTTGAAGGAGTTCCCACATATGCTGAGCACTTGTTGGCTGCTTTTCCTTCACTCTGCAGTCCGACTCATCCCAAACCATCTCAATTGGGTTGAGGTCAGGGGATTGTGGAGGCCAGGTCATCTGATCCAGCACTCCATCACTCTCCTTCTTGGTAAAATAGCCCTTACACAGCCTGGAGGTGTGTTGGGTCATTGTCCTGTTGAAAAACAAATGATAGTCCCACTAAGCCCAAACCAGATGGGATGGCGTATCGCTGCAGAATGCTGTGGTAGCCATGCTGGTTAAGTGTGCCTTGAATTCTAAATAAATCACAGATAGTGTCACCAGCATAGCACCCAAACACCATAACATACATTGTACCATGCTTTCATGTTTCACTACATGGCTGCTAGTACAAAACCATGGTATTTGTTTCATTTGTACTACCATGGTTCATTTTTGTACCATGGTAGCTAGTACAATGAAACAAATATAATGTTTTTTTTGGTCACTACCATGGCAGGAAAATATCATGGTACTGGTGCAAATACCATGGTATTGTCCTGCCATGGTAGTGACCAAAAAACCATGATATTACCCTGGTATTTTTTTCATTGTACTACAATGGTACATTTTTCTAAGGGTACAAGCTGGCGAGCTCTATGGCGCTACCATGCTATGTTGTTGTCTTAGGTCTCTCTTTATGTAGTGTTGTGGTGTCTCTCTTTATGTAGTGTTGTGGTGTCTCTCTTTATGTAGTGTTGTGGTGTCTCTTTATGTAGTGTTGTGGTGTCTCTCTTTATGTAGTGTTGTGGTGTCTCTCTTTATGTAGTGTTGTGGTGTCTCTCTTTATGTAGTGTTGTGGCGTCTCTCTTTATGTAGTGTTGTGGCGTCTCTCTTTATGTAGTGTTGTGGTGTCTCTCTATGTAGTGTTGTGGTGTCTCTCTTTATGTAGTGTTGTGGCGTCTCTCTTTATGTAGTGTTGTGGCGTCTCTCTTTATGTAGTGTTGTGGCGTCTCTCTTTATGTAGTGTTGTGGCGTCTCTCTTTATGTAGTGTTGTGGCGTCTCTCTTTATGTAGTGTTGTGGTGTCCTCTTTATGTAGTGTTGTGGTGTCTCTCTTTATGTAGTGTTGTGGTGTCTCTCTTTATGTAGTGTTGTGGTGTCTCTCTTTATGTAGTGTTGTGGTGTCTCTTTATGTAGTGTTGTGGTGTCTCTTTATGTAGTGTTGGTCTCTCTTTATGTAGTGTTGTGGTGTCTCTCTTTATGTAGTGTTGTGGTGTCTCTTTATGTAGTGTTGTGGTGTCTCTCTTTATGTAGTGTTGTGGTGTCTCTCTCGTCGTGATGTGTATTTTGTCCTATATGTTTTTAAATTTATTTTTTATCCCAGCCCCCTGTTCCCCGCAGGAGGCCTTTTGCCTTTTGGTAGGCCGTCATTGTAAATAAGAATTTGTTCTTAACTGACTTGCCTAGTTAAATAAAAAAAATAAAAAATAACGGCTATCATCATCGGGTGGTGGTTAGCCATGTAGCTAGCTAGCTAACTTAGCTGCTAGGATAGCTCACTAACATTAGCATGCTAGACAAGTAGGCTAACGTGCGCAAGTTAGCCTACTAGCTGCCAAAGCCATCCGTAGCGAAATGATTAATCATTCATAGCTAGTTATCTTATCTCTACATGTTTCCTCAAGTTCAAGGCAGAGTTTTTGTAGGCAGCCACCTTCTGCTATCATGGGTAAGCAAAGCTTGCATTGCATTGATTACACTATCGCCTCTCCTGTGCTTGAAGAAGAACTGGTCACTGAAATGCATTCTCCTCATCTTCTTCAGAAGATTCTGTGTCTGGGTTTTCTCCTGACTCTCCTCCATCTCCATTGTTTTTCACCACGTCTCGAACTAGCTATTTTCTTTTGGCCTGTTCATCATTCAGTATGTGCGCACAGCTTGATTTGATTGGTCTGTTTTGATGCGTGAAATCTGACTTGATTGGTCACTCTGACTAAACAACTATTTTGTTCTGGCTGCGAGGGGCTCCTCCCGCGACCTTTCTGTGTCAACATTAGACCCGAGTGGCGCAGTGGTCTAAGGCACTGCATCACAGTGCTAGCTGTGCCACTAGAGATCCTGGTTCGAATCCAGGCTCTGTCGCAGCCGGCCGCGACCGGGAGACCCATGAGGCGGCGCACAATTGGCCCAGCGTCGTCCAGGGTAGGGGAGGGAATGGCCGGCAGGGATGTAGCTCAGTTGGTAGAGCATGGCGTTTGCAACGCCAGGGTTGTGGGTTCGATTCCCACGGGGGGCCAGTATAAAAAAATAAAAATAAAAATAATGTATGCACTCACTAACTGTAAGTCGCTCTGGATAAGAGTGTCTGCTAAATGACTAAAATGTAAATGTAACATGATCTACCATTATGGATAGCTTACAAAATGTGAATCTGTAACAGATGGTTTTTAAAAAGGTAACAAAGTACAATACTTCATTCAAAACATAAGTACAAGTAAAATAACTGACTTTGAAAAATACTCTCAAAAGTACAAGTACTCTGAAAAGCAAAAAATAGTTACAATTTCGTATTAACACTGGAATGATAGATGTGCAAAAGATGATGTGCAAATAGAGATACTGGGGTGCAAATGATCAAAATAAATAACAATATGGGGATGAGGTAGTTGGGTGGGCTAATTTCAGATGGGCTGTGTACAGGTGCAGTGATCGGTAAGGTGCTCTGACAAACCCCGTCTGCAGCTGGGAGGGAATGGGTATGAGATCTAAACCCCGTCTGCAGCTGGGAGGGAATGGGTATGAGATCTAAACCCCGTCTGCAGCTGGGAGGGAATGGGTATGAGATCTAAACCCCGTCTACAGCTGGGAGGGAATGGGTATGAGATCTAAACCCCGTCTGCAGCTGGGAGGGAATGGGTATGAGATCTAAATCCCGTCTGCAGCTGGGAGGGAATGGGTATGAGATCTAAACCCCGTCTGCAGCTGGGAGGGAATGGGTATGAGATCTAAACCCGTCTGCAGCTGGGAGGGAATGGGTATGAGATCTAAACCCCGTCTGCAGCTGGGAGGGAATGGGTATGAGATCTAAACCCCGTCTACAGCTGGGAGGGAATGGGTATGAGATCTAAATCCTGTCTACAAGTTTGATTTGCATGTGATGTCCATCCAGTAATGGCCCACAACAGAGCTGTATGATTCTACCTGCAGGGAGGATTCAGTGAGGAAGAGGATGCCCTGACCCTCCTGCCTACTGGATCACACCTGTTCTCAGGCTTGCTTGGTGGCTTCCTCCCCTCTCTGCCTGGAGCTCCACACACCTGTTCTCAGGCTTGCTTGGTGGCTTCCTCCCCTCTGGAGCTCCATACACCTGTTCTCAGCTTGCTTGTGGCTTCCTCCCCTCTCTGCCTGGAGCTCCACACGCCTGTTCTCAGGCTTGCTTTGGTGGCTTCCTCCCCTCTCTGCCTGGAGCTCCACACGCCTGTTCTCAGGCTTGCTTGGTGGCTTCCTCCCCTCTCTGCCTGGAGACTCCACACACCTGTTCTCAGGGCTGCTTGGTGGCTTCCTCCCCTCTCTGCCTGGAGCTCCACACACCCTGTTCTCAGGCTTTGCTTGGTGGCTTCCTCCCCTCTCTGGCCTGGAGCTCCACACACCTGTTCTCAGGCTTGCTTGGTGGCTTCCTCCCCTCTCTGCCTGGAGCTCCACACACCTGTTCTCAGGCTTGCTTGGTGGCTTCCTCCCCTCTCTGCCTGGAGCTCCACACGCCTGTTCTCAGGCTTGCATTGGTGGCTTCCTCCCCTCTCTGCCTGGAGCTCCACACGCCTGTTCTCAGGCTTGCTTGGTGGCTTCCTCCCCTCTCTGCCTGGAGCTCCACACGCCTGTTCTCAGGCTTGCTTGGTGGCTTCCTCCCCTCTCTGCCTGGAGCTCCACACACCTGTTCTCAGGCTTGCTTGGTGGCTTCCTCCCCTCTCTGCCTGGAGCTCCACACACCTGTTCTCAGGCTTGCTTGGTGGCTTCCTCCCCTCTCTGCCTGGAGCTCCACACACCTGTTCTCAGGCTTGCTTGGTGGCATCCTCCCCTCTCTGCCTGGAGCTCCACACACCTGTGAACCTGCGTGCCTACACTCTCAACCAATCAGGGCTTCTCTCTGCCAGTCTGTGTGACAACAAACTCGATGCATCTGTGCAGTGCGTTTCTATGTGGACACAAGGATCCACAACCGGTAGAAACAAAGATGTTTGTCTTTGGGAGAAACAGGACATGGTGTGTGTGTGTGTGTGTGTGTGTGTGTGTGTTTGTGTGTGTACTGTTTAGTTTGAGATGCATTGCACATTAATTTAACCTGGACGCCACTGTAGTGTACGTTAAATTGCAGATCCAGATCAACATGGAGCCCCAACTCTCTTCCTGTCTAACTGTCCTCTTCCTGTCTCCTCCAGTGCATCCCCACATCCAGAGAACTGCAGACCTATACTCTTCCAGCCTCCAATGCTGGACTTCCATGAACAGTAAGTACCTGACTAGTACCTAGTAAGTACTAGTAAGTACCTGACTCAAAACATGCCTTAATAACCTCATCAAAACATGCCTTACTAACCTCCTCAAAACATGCCTTACTAACCTCATCAAAACATGCCTTACTAACCTCCTCAAAACATGCCTTAATAACCTCCTCAAAACATGCCTTAATAACCTCATCAAAACATGCCTTACTAACCTCCTCAAAACATGCCTTACTAACCTCCTCAAAACATGCCTTACTAACCTCCTCAAAACATGCCTTACTAACCTCATCAAAACATGCCTTACTAACCTCATCAAAACATGCCTTACTAACCTCCTCAAAACATGCCTTACTAACCTCCTCAAAACATGCCTTACTAACCTCCTCAAAACATGCCTTACTAACCTCATCAAAACATGCCTTACTAACCTCATCAAAACATGCCTTAATAACGTCCTCAAAACATGCCTTACTAACCTCCTCAAAACATGCCTTACTAACCTCATCAAAACATGCCTTACTAACCTCCTCAAAACATGCCTTACTAACCTCCTCAAAACATGCCTTAATAACCTCCTCAAAACATGCCTTACTAACCTCATCAAAACATGCCTTAATAACGTCCTCAAAACATGCCTTACTAACCTCCTCAAAACATGCCTTACTAACCTCCTCAAAACATGCCTTAATAACCTCCTCAAAACATGCCTTAATAACCTCATCAAAACATGCCTTACTAACCTCCTCAAAACATGCCTTACTAACCTCATCAAAACATGCCTTACTAACCTCATCAACATGCCTTACTAACCTCATCAAAACATGCCTTACTAACCTCATCAAAACATGCCTTACTAACCTCATCAAAACATGCCTTAATAACCTCATCAAAACATGCCTTACTAACCTCCTCAAAACATGCCTTAATAACCTCCTCAAAACATGCCTTAATAACCTCCTCAAAACATGCCTTACTAACCTCCTCAAAACATGCCTTACTAACCTCCTCAAAACATGCCTTAATAACGTCCTCAAAACATGCCTTACTAACCTCATCAAAACATGCCTTACTAACCTCATCAAAACATGCCTTACTAACCTAATCAAAACATGCCTTAATAACCTCCTCAAAACATGCCTTACTAACCTCCTCAAAACATACCTTACTAACCATGTCATTACAGAGGAGGACAGGGAAACCTGTCATATAATGAATCACTGTCACAAAGAAAGGAAGGGTGACACACCCCCAGGCCGTTGGTATTCTCCATTATGTCAGTATGCCGTTGGTATTCTCCATTATGTCAGTATGCCGTTGGTATTCTCCATTATGTCAGTATGCCGTTGGTATTCTCCATTATGTTAGTATGCCGTTGATATTCTCAGTTATGTCAGTATGCCGTTGATATTCTCCATTATGTCAGTATGCCGTTGATATTCTCCATTATGTCAGTAAGCTGTTGTATTGATGATAATGTAGACCTACAGCTTCACCTGGAATGCTTTCCAATAGTCTTGAAGGAGTTCCCACATATGCTGAGCACATGTTGGCTGCTTTTCCTTCACTCTGCCGTCCGACTCATCCCAAACCATCTCAATTTGGTTGAGGTCGGGGGATTGTGGAGGCCAGGTCATCTGATGCAGCACTCCATCACTCTCCTTCTTGGTAAAATATCCCTTACACAGCTTGGAGGTGTGTTGGGTCATTAAGCCCAAACCAGATGGGATGGCGTATCGCTGCAGAATGCTGTGGTAGCCATGCTGGTTAAGTGTGCCTTGAATTCTAAATAAATCACAGACAGTATCACCAGAAAAGCACCCAAACACCATAACACCTCCTCCTCCATGCTTTACGGTGGGAAATACACATGCGGAGATCATCTGTTCATCCACACCGCGTCTCACAAAGACACGGCGGTTGGAACCAAAATCTCCAAATTGGACTCCAGACCAAAGACACATTTCCACTGGTCTAATGTCCATTGCTCATGTTTCTTGGCCCAAGCAGGTCTCTTCTTATTATTGATGTCCTTTAGTAGTGGTTTCTTTGCAGCAATTCGACCATGAACGCCTGATTCACACAGTCCCCTCTGAACAGTTGATGTTGAGATGTGTCTGTGACTTGAGCTCTGTGAAGCATTTATTTGGGCTGCAATTTCTGAGGCTGGTAACTCTAATGAACCTATCCTCTGCAGCGGAGGTAACTCTGGGTCTTCCATTCCTGTGGCGGTCCTCATGAGAGCCAGTTTCATCATAGCGCTTGATGGTTTTTGTGACTGCACTTGAAGAAACTTCAAAAGTTCTTGAAATTTTCCTAATTGACTGACCTTCATGTCTTAAAGTAATGATGGACTGTCGTTTCTCTTTGCTTATTTGAGCTGTTCTTGCCATAATATGGACTTGGTCTTTTACCAAATAGGGCTATCTTCTGTATACCCCCCCTACCTTGTCACAACACAACTGATTGGCTCAAACACATTAACTTTTAAGAAGGCACACCTGTTAATTGAAATGCATTCCAGGTGACTACCTCATGAAGCTGGTTGAGAGAATGCCAAGAGTGTGCAAAGCTGTCATCAAGGCAAAGGGTGGCTATTTGAAGAATCTCAAAAATAACATATATTTTAATTTGTTTAACACTTTTTTGGTTACTACATGATTCCATAATTGTTATTTTATAGTTTTGATGTCTTCACTATTATTCTACAATGTAAAAATAAAGAAAAACCCTTGAATGAGTAGGTGTGTCCAAACTTTTGACTGGTACTGTATATAAAACTTTATTGATGAGTCATGAAGATTTTATCATGTTATTTGTCCTTCCTTACACATTTGTTCTTTCCGCTTTTTCTCTAGGCCTGTTGGGATGGCAAAAATGGAAAAGGTTTACTTGAATAATCCCACCTCAGAAGAAATTGGTTTTGTTTCAATATCAGCGACAACAGCACATTTCCATGCATCATTTTTCCAGAATAGGGTAAGTTATTAGGCCTATAAGAATCACATGATAAATATAATATCGACAAATTGTGTGTAATGTGAGGACACTGAGCCTGTGGCCATGGAGACAAATGGTGATGTCAGACTTCCTGTAAAAAAACGCTTAAAATCGAAGCGTAGAACTGCTGAGCTTGCTCTTGTGAGAGACTTGACACATCTGGTCTCGCTCGGGGGTGAGTAGTAACAGGTTGTGCTGCTTATAACCAGCTTTTACTTTGACATGTGACAGGCCAAAGAAGGGTGTCTCCTACGGCTTGCTGCACCTCTGATTGTGGAGCCCTTTACACATATTATAGATCTATCCGTTCTCTTTGATATTATTCCAAATCGGTCTAGCCCAGGGGTGTCAAACTCATTTTAGCTCAGGGGCCACATGGAGGAAAATCTATTCCCAAGTGGGCCGGACCGGAAAAATCATGGTGTATATATATAACTTAAAAACAACAACTTCAGATTGTTTTCTTTGTTTTAATACGATCAACATACAACATAAAGCTGGAGCCTGAGGACAGTGTGTCCAAAATAGTACAAGTACAACATCACTATTAATCATAAAACACGTCAAGTTTATTTGAAAATTCTAAAGAAAAATAACAAACAACTGTTTCACGGATCACAGAACTATATCAGGGTGTCATTTCTCAGGCAGAAATGTAGATAAAAATTATGAAATCCTGTTTCCCAAACAAGTGCAAGAACCACAGAGTCAAGAATAGGTTAAATATACAAATAAAATCAATTAAAAGCTGCATCACCACCGGCAAGTTGCGTCTCCCACAATGACAGCTTCAACTTGAAAGAACGTATGCTGTCATAATACTGCGTGACAACTTTGTTGCGCCCTTGCAGCTGTTTGTTCAAGTTATTCAGGTGCTCTGTAACATCCACCATAAATGCAAGGTCCTGCATCCATTCTGCGGAATGAAATTCTAACACTGGTTTGCCCTTTTCTTCCATGAACTGTTCAATTTCTTCTCGTAAATCAAAGTAACGCCTCAGCACAGCACCTCGGCTTAACCATCTTACCTCAGTGTGGTATGGCAGGCCATAGATGTGGTCTTTCTCTCTGAGAAGGCTGTCAAACTGACGGTGATTCAGGCTTCTGGATCGGATGAAATTAACAGTTTGGATGACCACCTTCATGACGTTATCCATCTTTAATGACTTGCAACACAAAACCTCCTGGTGCAAAATACAGTGAAAAGTAAAAAAAATCACGTCCTCCATTTGCAGATTGCACTTTCTCTCTGAACTTTGTCACAACGCCTGCTTTTTTTCCCGATCATTGAGGGCGCACCATCTGTAGCCAGGCTGACAGCGCGGGACCAGTCCACTCCGACCCTGTCCAGCGCGCCGACGAGTGCGGTAAAAATATCAGCTGCAGTCGTTGTATCTGTCATCGGCACCAACTCCACGAACTCCTCGGTGACGGTCAGTGTCATCAACTCCGCGGATGAAAATGGCCAGTTGTGCAACATCTGTAATGTCCGTGCTTTCATCAATTGCAACCGAAAACGCAATAAATGACTTTACTTTTTGCTTCAACTGGCTGTCCAAATCCACTGAAAGATCGGAAATCCTGTCTGCAACTGTGTTTCTTGTCAGGCTGATATTTGCAAAAGCCTGCCGCTTTTCAGGGCACACAATCTCCGCTGCCTTCATCATGCATGTTTTTACAAATTCACCCTCACTAAATGGTTTTGAAGCCACTGCGATTTCATTAGCAATGAGGTAGCTAGCTTTCACTGCAGCGTCACTGATGTCTCGGCTGTGAGTAAACACAGACTGCTGTTTCTTCAGACCCACCAACAGTTCATTCACCTTCTCTCATCTCCGCTGTCCTTGAAAGTTGTCATATTTGTCGGCATGAAGACTCACATAGTGGCGACGAAGGTTATATTCTTTCAGCACTGCAACATGCTCTGAACACACCAAACATACAGCTTTCCCATTCAATTCCGTGAATAAATAGGATTACCATTTTTCTTGGAACACTCTGCACTCTGCGTCCACTTTTCTCTTTTTTGACAGAGACATATTGGGGCAATGAGGGTGCCAAAGCACATAATGTTAAAAGTAGAAGCCGTAATAAATATAGCGGGCAAAACAAAGTAGCTCATTGGCTGCACATGCTTGACCTACTTGCTCTGCCCCGGTATAAACAGTTTGCTTGCTTAACACAATTGCTATTGCGCCATTCAGTGGACGCAATTGGAACAGCAGTTTATTTTATTGAATTTTTTTTATACTTTCCAAATAATAATAATAATAATTATTATTATTTTTTTAATCATCTCGCGGGCCGGATTAAACCCGTTTGCGGGCCTGATGCGGGCCGGACGTTTGACACCCCTGGTCTAGACCAAAGCGGCCTGCGGCTGGTTAAAAAATTACCTGCACAACAGAAGTCGGTGTATATCTGCTGATGGAATTCAGTCTAATTTTCATTTTTTGTATTTTATATTTTATTTGGTATTTTATAAAAAATACTACACATACAAATGACAACATCATACAAATATCAACTACATCACCCTGCCCAGACCCACTAGCTCACCCCCATCTCCATCAACTACATCACCCTGCCCAGACCCACTAGTTCCCCCCATCTCCATCAACTACATCACCCTGCCCAGACCCACCAGCTCCCCCCATCTCTAGATCAACTACATCACCCTGCCCAGACCCACTAGCTCCCCCCATCTCCAGATCAACTACATCACCCTGCCCAGACCCACTAGCTCCCCCATCTCCATCAACTACATCACCCTGCCCAGACCCACTAGCTCCCCCCCATCTCTAGATCAACTACATCACCCTGCCCAGACCCACTAGCTCCCCCCATCTCCATCAACTACATCACCCTGCCCCGACCCACCAGCTCCCCCATCTCCATCAACTACATCACCCTGCCCAGACCCACTAGGTCCCCCATCTCCAGATCAACTACATCACCCTGCCCAGACCCACCAGCTCCCCCCATCTCCATCAACTACATCACCCTGCCCCGACCCACTAGCTCCCCCCATCTCCAGATCAACTACATCACCCAGCCCAGACCCACTAGCTCCCCCATCTCCAGATCAACTACATCACCCTGCCCAGACCCACTAGCTCCCCCATCTCCAGATCAACTACATCACCCTGCCCAGACCCACTAGCTCCCCCATCTCCAGATCAACTACATCACCCTGCCCAGACCCACTAGCTCCCCCCATCTCCAGATCAACTACATCACCCTGCCCAGACCCACTAGCTCCCCCCATCTCCATCAACTACATCACCCTGCCCAGACCCACTAGCTCCCCCATCTCCATCAACTACATCACCCTGCCCAGACCCACTAGCTCCCCCCATCTCCAGATCAACTACATCACCCTGCCCAGACCCACTAGCTCCCCCATCTCCATCAACTACATCCCCCTGCCCAGACCCATTAGCTCCCCCATCTCCAGATCAACTACATCACCCTGCCCAGACCCACTAGCTCCTCCATCAACTACATCACCCTGCCCAGACCCACTAGCTCCCCCCATCTCCATCAACTACATCACCCTGCCCAGACCCACTAGCTCCCCCATCTCCATCAACTACATCACCCTGCCCAGACCCACTAGCTCCCCCCATCTCCATCAACTACATCACCCTGCCCAGACCCACTAGCTCCCCCATCTCCAGATCAACTACATCACCCTGCCCAGACCCACTAGCTCCCCCATCTCCAGATCAACTACATCACCCTGCCCAGACCCACTAGCTCCCCCCATCTCCAGATCAACTACATCACCCTGCCCAGACCCACTAGCTCCCCATCTCCATCAACTACATCACCCTGCCCAGACCCACTAGCTCCCCCCATCTCCATCAACTACATCACCCTGCCCAGACCCACTAGCTCCCCATCTCCATCAACTACATCACCCTGCCCAGACCCACTAGCTCCCCATCTCCATCAACTACATCACCCTGCCCCGACCCACTAGCTCCCCCCATCTCCATCAACTACATCACCCTGCCCAGACCCACTAGCTCCCCCATCTCCATCAACTACATCACCCTGCCCAGACCCACTAGCTCCCCCATCTCCATCAACTACATCACCCTGCCCAGACCCACTAGCTCCCCCATCTCCATCAACTACATCACCCTGCCCAGACCCACCTGCTCACACCCCCATCTCCAGATCAACTACATCACCCTGCCCAGACTCACTAGCTCCCCCCATCTCCAGATCAACTACATCACCCTGCCCAGACCCACTAGCTCCCCCCATCTCCAGCGCCCGCATCACTCTCCGCCACATGGCCTCAAACTGCACCATTTTGTTTCTCTCCTTAGCCCATGCACTTTCAATATTTTAAATAATAAATCATATAATTTTTCCATTGTGTTAAAGATGGAGGATTGATTGATTTCCACGTTTTTAGTATACGTTTTTTCAATTTGAGAGATGAGAAGCGATCGTCCAATCAATCGGGTATCTCACTACACCCCCATATGCCATATCTTGAAATATGCAGACAGACGGATTAAAAGTACATTTACATTGTAATACTTCTGACAGCAAACTTTTTAGCTCCGCCCACAGCCTCTGGACTTTATAGCGTTCCCAGAAAGCATGGATTATTAAGTAATTGTTAGTTTTACACTTGAGACATGACTCTGCCGTTGTGCTGTAAAATGTGTGAATTTTGTCTCTTGTATAATACTTTCTATACATTAGTTTATACCGGATTAAGCATACATTTTCGTTAACTGTAATTTCGTCAGTTATGCTCCAACATTCCTTCCATCTTGTGCCAACACCAGTTATTTTTAAGTCTCGGTTCCAATAGTTTATATTTTTTTTCTAAGAGGTTGTCAGTTGGATCGGCTCTCTGTAAGGTTTTGTATGTCTTCCCTATCATATGAACATCCTTTTCTGACTCAAATAAGATTCCTTCAAGGTTGTCCTGACGTCCAAAAGATTGCAAATCAACATTTCGTGATATGTAACCATCTCCACTGGTCAGTCCAAAATGACTTTTTAATTCTGTCATGGAAATAAATGATACGATAGAAGTCAGCGAATATCTGCTGATGGTGTTCAGTCTAATTTTCTAAACATAACCAAAGGAGTGTCACAAGTCTCAATACTAGGCCCTTAACTGTTCACTGTTTACATTAATAATGTTGGTTTGTCCCTGGCTAATAAGAACTGGGGTGGATATTTATTCCATTAACGACCTTCAGCTTGGCTTTGATTCAATTCAAGAATCCCTCACCGATCATAAATGAGTGCTAAATGTTGATAAAAACCATGTCTGTGTTCCCCAGGTGTCGTAGAATTGACCCAAAATACCTGCGTATCTGCACCTTGAAGTGAGCCCAAATTGAGCTAGTCCCTCATAAGTATTTAGGTATTTGGATTGATGATAAGCTGTCTTTTTAAAATACACATTGAAAAACTAACAAAGAGGCTGAGAATTAAGATCGTTTTTTATTTTTTATATAGAAATAAATCCTACCTTTCTTTTGAAAACAGGAGTAGTATTGTTCTGGCATCGCTCCTCCCAGTACTTGACTATGGTGATATAATCTACATGCAAGCAGCAACCTTTACATTCAGTCTATCACTCAGCCCTGCATTTTATCACTGGAGACAATTTTTGTACACATAATTTCCGTTGATATAGTTCTGTTGGCTGGGAGCCTCTGACTACCAGAAGGGTCCAACGGTGGCTGCTATTTGTATATAAAGCAGTTCTCCAGAAACTCCCACACTAACTCACTTCACTCAATGGGAAATCCAGCCACCACAAGACTCGCTCTCAAGACTGGTTGGTTCTTCAGGTCTCCACAGAGTCTGGGAAGATTGCTTTTATACCAAACAAAAATATAAACGCAACATGTAAAGAGTTCAATGTTTCATGAGCTGAAATAAAAGGTCCCAGAAATGTTCCATACACACAAAAAAGCTTATTTATCTCAGATTCTGTGCACAAATTTGTTTACATCCCTGTTAGTGAGCATTTCTCCTTTGCCAAGATAATCCATCCACCTGACAGGTGTGGCATATCAAGAAGCTGATTAAACAGCATAATCATTACACAGGTGCACCTTGTGCTGGGGACAATAAAAGGCCACTCTAAAATGTGCAGTTTTGTCACACAACACAATGCCGTAGATGTCTCAAGTTTTGAGGGAGCGTTTAATTGGCATGCTGACTGCAGGAATGTCCACCAGAGCGGTTGCCAGAGAATTTGTAAGTTTCTTTACCATAAGCCTCCAATATTGTTTTAGAGAATTTGGCAGTATGTCCAACCTGCCTCACAACCACAGACCACGTGTAACCACGCCAGCTCAGGACCTCCACATCCTGCTTCTTCACCTGCAGGATCATCTGAGACCAGCCGCCCTGACAGCTGATGAAACTGTGGGTTTGCACAACCAAAGAATTTCTGCACAGACTGTCAGAAACCGTCTCAGGGAAGCTCATCTGCGTGCTCGTCGTCCTCACCAGGGTCTTGACCTGACTTCAGTTCGGCGTCGAAACCGACTTCAGTGGGCAAATGCTCACCTTCGATGGCCACTGGCACGATGGCGAAGTGTGCTCTTCACGGATGAATCCCAGTTTCATTTCTATCAGGCAGATGGCAGTTCGGGGACTATGGAATGTGGTGAAGGAGAACTGCACTTGTTTTGATTTTGGTATTTTAAATGTCGCGTTTGAATTTGATTTGTAATGTTTAATTGTGCATTTTATAGTGTTGTATTGAGACTGATCGTGTTGTTTTATTGTTCCCCAGAGTCCCCTGGCGTCCCCTGGTTAAATAAAGGTTAAATAAAATGACATGATTTGTGTGTCGTCACCACAGTGATCACACCGTGGTGAAGAACAGGGTCCTGGTGGTACTGTGGTGTATAGGCAGAAATGAAGCCAGAGGAAGAAGCCTTGAGTAACATGCTGTGTAAAATAGCTCTACATTAACCCAGTCTGAGTCACTACCCTATTCCTATAGACAAAGGTCCTGCTCAGTTACTGTTCTGTACTTGGTCATCCTAGGTCAAATGTGTTGTTGGAGACTGGACAGTAGCTAAATGTTGCACAATGGCATTGTTTTAAATTTGTTCAAGCTTAGCCAACTGCTAATGTTTCATTGGATAATGTAACCAAATGGTAATGACTACGTCCAAAATGGCACCCTATTCCCTAATAGTACGCTACCTTTGTCCAGAGCCCTATGGGTCCAGAGCTTTATGGGTCCAGAGCCCTATCTATGGGTCCAGAGCCCTATGGGTCCAGAGCCCTATCTATGGGTCCAGAGCCCTATCTATGGGTCCAGAGCCCTATCTATGGGTCCAGAGCCCTATCTATGGGTCCAGAGCCCTATGGGTCCAGAGCCTTATGGGTCCAGAGCTTTATGGGTCCAGAGCCTTATGGGTCCAGAGCTTTATGGGTCCAGAGCCCTATCTATGGGTCCAGAGCCCTATGGGTCCAGAGCCCTATGGGTCCAGAGCCCTATGGGTCCAGAGCCTTATGGGTCCAGAGCCCTATCTATGGGTCCAGAGCTTTATGGGTCCAGAGCCCTATCTATGGGTTCAGAGCCCTATGGGTCCAGAGCCCTATCTATGGGTCCAGAGCCCTATCTATGGGTCCAGAGCCCTATCTATGGGTCCAGAGCCCTATCTATGGGTCCAGATCCCTATCTATGGGTCCAGAGCCCTATCTATGGGTCCAGAGCCTTATGGGTCCAGAGCCCTATCTATGGGTCCAGAGCCCTATCTATGAAACCCCACCTCTTTAAGGAATACCTGGGATAGTATAAAGTAATCCTTCTACCCCCCCCCCCCCCCCCCCCCCCAAAAAAAACAAAAAAAACAAACAAACATTGTAAAGTGGTTATCCCACTGGCTATAAGGTGAATGCACCAATTTGTAAGTCGCTCTGGATAAGAGCGTCTGCTAAATGACGTAAATGTAATGTCAATGTATGGGCCCTGGTCAAAGGTAGTGCACTATAAAGGGAAAAGGGTGCCATTTGGGATAGAACCATAGAATGTATCCTCTGATGATGTAACCACCTGATAATGTTCCATCCAATGTGACCACCTGATAATGTTCCATCCAATGTGACCAGCTGATAATGTTCCATCCAATGTGACCACCTGATAATGTTCCATCCAATGTGACCACCTGATAATGTTCCATCCAATGTGATCAGCCTCCTCTGATAATGTAGCTAACTGATGATTTTTCTCTTTCTGTTCCAGATAATCCCACCAGGGGGGAACACGTCATTTGACGTCCTGTTTCTCGCCAGGGGAGTAGGGAACATAGAACGTCCTGTTTCTCGCCAGGGGAGTAGGGAACATAGAACGTCCTGTTTCTCGCCAGGGGAGTAGGGAACATAGAACGTCCTGTTTCTCGCCAGGGGAGTAGGGAACATAGAACGTCCTGTTTCTCGCCAGGGGAGTAGGGAACATAGAACGTCCTGTTTCTCGCCAGGGGAGTAGGGAACATAGAACGTCCTGTTTCTCGCCAGGGGAGTAGGGAACATAGAACGTCCTGTTTCTCGCCAGGGGAGTAGGGAACATAGAACGTCCTGTTTCTCGCCAGGGGAGTAGGGAACATAGAACGTCCTGTTTCTCGCCAGGGGAGTAGGGAACATAGAACGTCCTGTTTCTCGCCAGGGGAGTAGGGAACATAGAACGTCCTGTTTCTCGCCAGGGGAGTAGGGAACATAGAACGTCCTGTTTCTCGCCAGGGGAGTAGGGAACATAGAAAATACTTTATTTATTAATATGTCGCATCATGGAGTGTTTACATACCAGGTACTGTAGAGGCGTGTTCCAAACGGCACCCTATTCCCTACATAGTGCACTACCCTTTGACTAGGTTCCATAGGGCTCTGGTCTAAAGTAGTGCACTATGTAGGGAATAGGGTGCCTTTTTAGGACGCCACCATAAACACAATATCCAGTTAATGGGCTATTCCTTCAAATGAAAAGCGAAAGATGTAAACAGTAGGTTGATTGATTGATAACCTTGTGGTCTGTCCTCTTGTGTTTTCAGGTGTTTGGGGTGGGCATCCCCAACCCCATCCCCTCCAGACTACGGCCCTTCATCGGGGCCAGAGTCCCTGTTAACGGCAGCTTCTCTCCACTCATTAACATCCACAACCCTCACGGTGAACCACTGCAGGTAAACATTACATTTACATTTTAGTCATTTAGCAGACGCTCTTATCCAGAGCGACTTACAGTTAGTGCATACAATTTTTCATACTGGCCCCCCGTGGGAATCGAACCCACAACCCTGTCGTTGCAAACGCCATGCTCTACCAACTGAGCTACATCCCTGCCGGCCATTCCCTCCCCTACCCTGGACGACGCTGGGCCAGTTGTGCGCCGCCCCATGGGTCTCCCGGTCGCGGCCGGCTACGACAGAGCCTGGATTCAAACCAGTATCTCTAGTGGCACAGCTAGCACTGCGATGCAGTGCCTTAGACCATGTCTTAAACATGTCTATTATGCGTCTCTATGGTAACCACCATCCACTTTAAGGAATACCTGAGATAGTATAAAGTAATCCTTCTACCCCCCCCCCCAAAAAAATAAAAATAAAAAATATATTGTAAAGTGGTTGTCCCACTGGCTATAAGGTGAATGCACCAATTTGTAAGTGGCTCTGGATAAGAGCGTCTGCTAAATGATGTAAAAGGATAAGCTACACTAAAGTAGCTCCGAGGCAATAATTAATTTACCAACGTTTTGACAGCAAGCTGTCTTAGTTAGGGTATCATGAACCACCATCCACTAACAATCTATCAATAACATAACATCCACAAACCACTACGGGCCAGTTTCCCAGACACAGATTAAGCCCGGACAAAGAAACCCTTTCAGTGGTAATTGAACACGTCGGGGGGGGAACCTTCCCTAACAGTTTATCTAATCAATGTGTCCAGTTGATTAGGTTTGAGACTTGAGTCATTGATTGTTAGGGTTTGAAATAGTTTAGGTCACTTAGTGTATTCTGGTTAGTTATAATGTGATCTCTGGTGGACAGACACAGAAACGGAAAGGGACTGCAGATCTGTCATGATACAACGGCGGAAAGGGACTGCGGATCTGTCATGATACAACGGCGGAAAGGGACTGCGGATCTGTCATGATACAACGGCGGAAAGGGACTGCGGATCTGTCATGATACAACGGCGGAACGGGACCTGCGGATCCGTCAAACGGGAAGGATGGATCTGTCATGATACAACGGCGGAAAAGGGACTGCCCAGATCTGTCATGATACAACGGCGGAAAGGGACTGCGGATCCGTCATGATACAACGGGATGAGTGACATCAGCAGCATTAGCTCGGGTTTTTCCTCACTGGTTATTTGGACAAATCACGATTTCACAGGTGTTAGCATCTTTTGATTTTCAGAAGGGGAGGGGATATTTGGCCGTAACTTCTCATAAACCCTTTCCACTCACAGCCCCTGTCATTCCCTGTCAACCCAGTGGCTGTACAGTGACATGCTATACATGACATCAGAGTTCTCCGGTACACAGCTCTGTGTTGGTTTTGACTGACAGCCGTTATAAATTTGAGCACAAGAAGTTGCCACCATCCCTCCTGCTAATTGGGCTACTTCTGCACATTTGTTGTCTGATTGAGGTAAATGCTGTAAATGGAGGGGAGAGGATGTGTTCTGACCGATGAGACGCTGAGGATGCTGTAAATTGAGAGGAGAGGATGTTGTTTCTGACCGATGAGACGTTGAGGATGCTGTAAATGGAGAGGAGAGGATGTGTTCTGACAGATGAGACGTTGAGGATGCTGTAAATGGAGAGGAGAGGATGTGTTCTGACCGATGAGACGTTGAGGATGCTGTAAATGGAGAGGAGAGGATGTGTTCTGACCGATGAGACGTTGAGGATGCTGTAAATGGAGAGGAGAGGATGTGTTCTGACAGATGAGACGTTGAGGATGCTGTAAATGGAGAGGAGAGGATGTGTTCTGACCGATGAGACGTTGAGGATGCTGTAAATGGAGAGGAGAGGATGTGTTCTGACCGATGAGATGCTGTAAATGGAGGGGAGAGGATGTGTTCTGACAGATGAGACGTTGAGGATGCTGTAAATGGAGAGGAGAGGATGTGTTCTGACAGATGAGACGTTGAGGATGCTGTAAATGGAGAGGAGAGGATGTGTTCTGACAGATGAGACGTTGAGGATGCTGTAAATGGAGAGGAGAGGATGTGTTCTGACAGATGAGACGTTGAGGATGCTGTAAATGGAGGGGAGAGGATGTGTTCTGACAGATGAGACGTTGAGGATGCTGTAAATGGAGAGGAGAGGATGTGTTCTGACCGATGAGACGTTGAGATGCTGTAAATGGAGAGGAGAGGATGTGTTCTGACAGATGAGACGTTTGAGGATGCTGTAAATGGAGAGGAGAGGATGTGTTCTGACCGATGAGACGTTGAGGATGCTGTAAATGGAGAGGAGAGGATGTGTTCTGACCGATGAGATGCTGAGGATGCTGTAAATGGAGAGGAGAGGATGTGTTCTGACAGATGAGATGCTGAGGATGCTGTAAATGGAGAGGAGAGGATGTGTTCTGACAGATGAGATGCTGAGGATGCTGTAAATGGAGAGGAGAGGATGTGTTCTGACAGATGAGATGCTGAGGATGCTGTAAATGGAGAGGAGAGGATGTGTTCTGACAGATGAGACGTTGATGATTATAATAAATCCCGTTTTGATGTCATACAAGCAAACCAAACACCCATGAGTCCAAATGTGCGCTTCACATTTCCATATCTGAAAACTCATGTCATTTACAGGATCAACGTTTATGATCGCTATGTTTGATCCACAGTTACAAGGATGACTTGTTATACCCTGGGTTGCCCTGAACAGAATGAGCCTGTTTGTCGTATTGGGAAGTAAATTATCTGCAGAACACGCACTTCAATGCACTAATGACCAAAATTACAATCTATTTGTCTGAAGTGCCTTTTGAAAGCCTAACACTGTAAGATCGTATTTTATAAATTAGCTAGGCATGTTGGCAGCAGAATACGCTTCCAAATGATGCCCACCTGACCCAGATTGTGATTTCTAATGGAATGTTTTTGGATTGCGTAAACAACAACAGTAATTGTGTGGTGGTGGGGATGCAGGACTGTGTTCCTAACAAAAAACTACACGTTTGCTGGCTTCAGTTCCTCAATGGCAAAGCTAAGAGCGCTCCAGACAGCACCTTCTAGTTGAAGGCTCTTTCCTGGAGTCATGACTTAGGACCTGCACAGTTAGGAGAGGTGTGGCCACCTGGAGACACCAGTTAGTCCTCTCACTGAAACCCACAGTTAGGAGAGGTGTGGCCACCTGGAGACACCAGTTAGTCCTCTCACTGAAACCCACAGTTAGGAGAGGTGTGGCCACCTGGAGACACCAGTTAGACCTCTCACTCAAACCCACAGTTAGGAGAGGTGTGGCCACCTGGAGACACCAGTTAGACCTCTCACTCAAACCCACAGTTAGGAGAGGTGTGGCCACCTGGAGACACCAGTTAGACCTCTCACTCAAACCCACAGTTAGGAGAGGTGTGGCCACCTGGAGACACCAGTTAGACCTCTCACTCAAACCCACAGTTAGGAGAGGTGTGGCCACCTGGAGACACCAGTTAGACCTCTCACTCAAACCCACAGTTAGGAGAGGTGTGGCCACCTGGAGACACCAGTTAGACCTCTCACTCAAACCCACAGTTAGGAGAGGTGTGGCCACCTGGAGACACCAGTTAGACCTCTCACTCAAACCCACAGTTAGGAGAGGTGTGGCCACCTGGAGACACCAGTTAGACCTCTCACTCAAACCTTTGTAATAGTATTTTATTATCCTACACGTACTCCAAAGAATTGTATGAATATTCGTATTGTACTGAACAAAAATATAAATGGAACATGTAAAGTGCAATGGATCAGTCCACTGAGACAGGAGCCAATCAGACGGCTGTCTTGTGCACCATGTAATGTAATATATATATATATATATATATATATATATATATAATATATATCTATTTCTATCTGACTGCTGGACTAAAGATATCTCAGTCGACCAACAGCCTATCGACCAAACAATCGACCTGTCGACTAAATGGGGTCAGCCCTATTTGGGATGCTCTGTATCGACGTGTGGCTCAGTTGGTAGAGCATGGCACTTGCAACGCTAGGGTTGTGGGTTCGATTCCCACAAGGGAACCAGTACGAACAAATACGAAAAATGTATGCACTCACTAATGTAAGTCGCTCTGGATAATAGCATTTGCTAAATGACTAAAATGTAAATGTCCACCAATTTCACACAGCCATTGAAGAGGAGTGGGACAACATTCCACAGGCCACAATTAACAGCCTGATCAACTCTATGTGAAGGAGATGTGTCGCGCTGCATGAGGCAAATGGTCACACCAGATACTGACTGGTTTTCTGATCCACGCCCCTACCTTTCTTTTAAAGGTATCTGTGACCAACAGATGCATATCTGTATTCCCAGGCATGTGAAATCCATAGATTAGGGCCTAATGAATTTATTTCAATTGACTGATTTCCTTATATGAACTGTAACTCAGTAAAATTGTTGCATGTTGCGTTTTATATTTTAGTAACTGAATGTATCCAGAGTATTTTCAGATTTCGTTATCAACAAATGCTGTGAAAAGTACAGTAGATATAAAATCAACAGTGTAATGTTTGGATCCAGTCTTGTGTCAGGTGACCTGTTGTGTCCTCACCTTTTCGGTCTAATAATTTACCCATAATCCCCAAAGTGTTCTCTTTCGATTGTCATGGTTCTGTTAGGAACGTTTCAATAGGTCCGTTTCCTGGCGTTTAAGAGGTTAACACGTATGGGAACTTACTCTAGCATTTGACCAATTACGCAAGTCTTTAGTTTCTGTGTTAACTGAGATTTAGTTACAGTATAATGGGATAATGTGATGTTTACCTGCAGGTTGTGGAGATGTTCTCCCGTGGTTACAGTATAATGGGATAATGTGATTTTACCTGCAGGTTGTGGAGATGTTCTCCAGTGGTTACAGTATAATGTGATGTTTACCTGCAGGTTGTGGAGATGTTCTCCCGTGGTTACAGTATAATGGGATAATGTGATGTTTACCTGCAGGTTGTGGAGATGTTCTCCCGTGGTTACAGTATAATGGGATAATGTGATGTTTACCTGCAGGTTGTGGAGATGTTCTCCAGTGGTTACAGTATAATGGGATAATGTGATGTTTACCTGCAGGTTGTGGAGATGTTCTCCCGTGGTTACAGTATAATGGGATAATGTGATGTTTACCTGCAGGTTGTGGAGATGTTCTCCCGTGGTTACAGTATAATGGGATAATGGGATGTTTACCTGCAGGTTGTGGAGATGTTCTCCCGTGGTTACAGTATAATGGGATAATGTGATGTTTACCTGCAGGTTGTGGAGATGTTCTCCCGTGGTTACAGTATAATGGGATAATGGGGATGTTTACCTGCAGGTTGTGGAGATGTTCTCCGTGGTTACAGTATAATGGGATAATGTGATGTTTACCTGCAGGTTGTGGAGATGTTCTCCCGTGGTTACAGTATAATGGGATAATGTGATGTTTACCTGCAGGTTGTGGAGATGTTCTCCAGTGGTTACAGTATAATGGGATAATGTGATGTTTACCTGCAGGTTGTGGAGATGTTCTCCCGTGGTTACAGTATAATGGGATAATGTGATGTTTACCTGCAGGTTGTGGAGATGTTCTCCAGTGGTTACAGTATAATGTGATGTTTACCTGCAGGTTGTGGAGATGTTCTCCGTGGTTACAGTATAATGGGATAATGTGATGTTTACCTGCAGGTTGTGGAGATGTTCTCCCGTAGTTACAGTATAATGGGATAATGTGATGTTTACCTGCAGGTTGTGGAGATGTTCTCCCGTGGTTACAGTATAATGGGATAATGTGATGTTTACCTGCAGGTTGTGGAGATGTTCTCCCGTGGTTACAGTATAATGTGATGTTTACCTGCAGGTTGTGGAGATGTTCTCCCGTGGTTACAGTATAATGGGATAATGTGATGTTTACCTGCAGGTTGTGGAGATGTTCTCCAGAATGGTGGAGACCTGCCATTTGGAGATGCCTCGGGTCATAAGATAAGGTTCACCAGAAATCCTTCTGGTTGTAGTTTTCAGGTTGTAATGTTCTCCATTTTTCAAATGGGAATGTAATGTTGTCTCCTCATTGTGGGATTGTATTCCACAGTAAATGGGATATGTGGACTCAGGGGAGAGCCCCCGAGTACAGAAGGGATAAGTGATGTTTACCTGCAGGTTGGGAGATGTTTCCCTGAATAACTGGGTACTGGTGCCCTACCTCAGTTGTGGTAGTGTTCTGGGTCAAAAATGAATGTTCACCCAGGGTTGTGGGAGGATGTGCTGGGTTAGTATAATGGGTTAGCATGTGAGTTTACCCTTTTTGTTCTACCGTTTAACAAGTCCCTAACGGAGATTTTTACCCCAGGGACATGTTCCCCGTCTGGTTACTATTGTATATGTCGTGTTCCCCTCAGGTTGGTGGAGAAATTTTGCAGTGGTTGATAAGTATTTTACCTGCAATTTCTCACAGTTTGTTCATGAGACTGCAGGTTGTGGAGATGTTCTGGCAGTATTGATAAGTGATTTTCTGCAGGTTTGACATGTTTGCCATGTTACAGTATTTAAAGGATATTTGAGTACCTCACGATTTGGAGATGTATCCCTGGGTAACTAGTAAAATGGATAATGTGAAGTTACCTCAGTTGTGGAGATGGTTCTCCCTGTGCAGTATAATGGGATGTTTACTCAGTATTTGGATGTTCTCCATGGTTTCATTATGAAGATATGTGATTTTACCTGCAGGTGTGGAGATGTTCTCCAGTGGTTACAGTATAATGGGATAATGGGATGTTTACCTGCAGGTTGTGGAGATGTTCTCCAGTGGTTACAGTATAATGGGATAATGTGATGTTTCCTGCAGGTTGTGGAGATGTTCTCCAGTGGTTACAGTATAATGGGATAATGTGATGTTTACCTGCAGGTTGTGGAGATGTTCTCCCGTGGTTACAGTATAATGGGATAATGTGATGTTACCTGCAGGTTGTGGAGATGTTCTCCCGTGGTTACAGTATAATGGTATATGTGATGTTACCTGCAGGTTGTGGAGATGTTCTCCCGTGGTTACAGTATAATGGGATAATGTGATGTTTACCTGCAGGTTGTGGAGATGTTCTCCCGTGGTTACAGTATGATGGGATAATGTGATGTTTACCTGCAGGTTGTGGAGATGTTCTCCCGTGGTGGAGACCTGCAGGTGGTGGAGATGTTCTCCCGTGGTTACAGTATAATGGTATAATGTGATGTTTACCTGCAGGTTGTGGAGATGTTCTCCGTGGTTACAGTATAATGGGATAATGTGATGTTTACCTGCAGGTTGTGGAGATTTTCTCCCGTGGTTACAGTATGATGGGAATGCGATGTTACCTGCAGGTTGTGGAGATGTTCTCCAGTGGTTACAGTATAATGGGATAATGTGATGTTTACCTGCAGGTTGTGGAGATGTTCTCCCGTGGTTACAGTATAATGGGAATAATGTGATGTTTACCTGCAGGTTGTGGAGATGTTCTCCCGGGTTACAGTATAATGGGATAATGTGATGTTTACCGCAGGTTGTTGGAGATGTTTCTCCCGTGGTTACAGTATAATGGGATAATGTGATGTTTACCTGCAGGTGTGGGAGATGTTCTCCAGTGGTTACAGTATAATGGGATAATGTGATGTTTACCTGCAGGTTGTGGAGATGTTCTCCCGTGGTTACAGTATAATGGGATAATGTGATGTTTACCTGCAGGTTGTGGAGATGTTCTCCAGTGGTGGAGACCTCCATCTGGAGCTGCCTACGGGTCATCAAGAAGCACCAGAAAATTCTGGGTTAGTTTCATGTTTCTGTCTCCATATCAAATCGGAATGTAAAATAGTTGTCTCCTCATCTTGGCCATTTTATAATGCCAAGTCCAATGGGTTGTGACTAGAGGGAGCACAGCTACGACCGGAAGTGACTTTTCATAGCGGATTAGACATGGTTTCCCAAACTCGGTCCTGGCCCCCCCCCCCTCAGCTGTGTAGTGCTTGGGCAAAAAACTAAATGTGCACCCAGGGAGGGGGGGAGGAGAGGACTGGGTTTGGGAAACTCTGGGTTAGCATTTTAGCTAACCCTTACCCTTTTTTTCTAACCTTAACCAAAGTCCCCTAACCCAGGAGCTTTTTCACTCAGGCCCCACTTCCAGCACGTCTATTTCTATGTATAGTTCTCTGTTCCCCTCTGGTTGGTGGAGAGAATTTTGCATGTTGAAAGCTTATTTCCTGCAATTCTACACATTTTGTCATGAGATGCAGTGAAAATTGTGCAGTTTTAAAGTTTATTTTCTTGCAGTTCTATACATTTTGCCATGTCTGTGTATTCATGTGATCTTTGAGTGACTCAAACATTACAATAGAATCCATGGGTAAAAAAACCTAGCTAAAAAACGTTAGCTGACATGGGCTAGTTGATCTGGACGTTATTCCATAGCTCTCTAAGGTCTGAAATGATGAGGAAAACTGATATACTACCCAATTTTGAAATTGCACCTTGTGCATTCTACTATTATAACTTTCAAGAGTAAGTTGAAAGCTGAACTGAATTCCTAATTATTTATTTATTTAAATAACAAAATGTGGAGAAAGTCAAGGGGTCTGAATACTACAGTATTCGGAAGGCATTGTACAAGCGCTATGATGAAACTGGCTCTCATGAGGACCGCCACAGGAAAGGAAGACCCAGAGTTACCTCCGCTGCAGAGGATAAGTTCATTAGAGTTACAAATAAAGTAACAGACACATCTCAACATCAACTGTTCAGAGGGGACTGTGTGAATCAGGCCTTCATGGTCAAATTTCTGCAAAGAAACCACTACTAAAGGACACCAATAAGAAGAAGAGACCTGCTTGGGTCAAGAAACACGAGCAATGGACATTAGACCGGTGGAAATGTGTCCTTTGGTCTGGAGTCCAAATTGGAGATTTTTGGTTTCAATCGCTGTGTCTTTGAGACACGGTGTGGGTGAACGGATGATCTCTGCATGTGTAGTTCCCACCGTAAAGCATGGAGGAGGAGGTGTTATGGTGTTTGGGTGCTTTGCTGGTGACACTGTCAGTGATTTATTTAGAATTCAAGGCACACTTAACCAGCATGGCTACCACAGCATTCTGCAGCGATACGCCATCCAATCTGGTTTGGGCTTAGTGGGACTATCATTTGTTTTTCAGCAGGATAATGACCCAACACACCTCCAAGCTGTGTAAGGGCTATTTTACCAAGAAGGAGAGTGATGGAGTGCTGGCATTAGATGACCTGGCCTCCACAATCCCCCGACCTCAACCAAATTGAGATGGTTTGGGATGAGTCGGACTGCAGAGTGAAGGAAAAGCAGCCAACAAGTGCTCAGCATATATGGGAACTCCTTCAGAACTGATTGGAAAGCATTCCAGGTGAAACTGGTTGAGAGAATCCAAGAGTGTGCAAAGCTGTCATCAAGGCAATGGGTGGCTATTTGAAGAATCTCAAATATGAAATATTTTGATTTGTTTCACACTTTTTTGGTTACTACATGATTCCATATGTGTTATTTCATAGTTTTGATGGCTTCACTATTATTCTACAATGTAGAAAATAGTAAAAATAAAGAAAAACCCTTGAATGAGTAGGTGTGTCCAAACTTTTGACTGGTACTGTGTATGTATATATATTTATTAATTTATTAAAATGTAAAGGGTCATCCAACATCGTTTTATAGACTTTGGCAGTATGTCCAACTGGCCTTAACTGCAGACCACGTGTAACCACGCCAGCCCAGGACCTCCACATCCGGCTTCTTCACCTGCGGGATCGTCTGAGACCAGCCACCCGGACAGCTGATGAAACTGTGGGTTTGCACAACCAAATAATTTCTGCACAAACTGTGAGAAACCGTCTCAGGGAAGCTCATCTGCGTGCTCGTCATCCTCACCAGGGTCTTGACTTGACTGAAGCTCGGCGTCGTAACCGACTTCGATGGCCACTGGCATGCTTGAGAAGTGTGCTCTTCACGGATGAATCCCGGTTTCAACTCTGTCAGGCAGATGGCAGACAGCGTGTATGGCATCGTGTAGGAGAGCGGTTTGCTGATGTCAACGTTGTGAACAGAGTGCCCCATGGTGGCGGTGGGGTTATGGTATGGGCAGGCATAAGCTATGGACAACGAACACAATTTTATCGATGGCAATTTCAATGCACAGGGATATCGTGAAGAGATCCTGAGGCCCATTTTCGTGCCATTCATCCGCCGCCATCACCTAATGTTTCAGCATGATAATACATGGCTCCATGTCTCAAGGATCTGTACATAATTCCTAGAAGTTTCTCAGGTATTCAAGTAATCAAGGATGTAAGAATATAGTTAGACATTTTGTAGAAAGTTAATGCAAATGTATTATTAGTCGGTACCGGGTTAGATACAACAATGGGCAGAGCTTTGCTGTTTCCAACTATCGAACAAAGGTCCACTCTCCCTTTATATACCCTTGGTTATCCTTCCTTTCACATACATCTGGCAACCATCATGGCACTCCCTTTCTCTGTTGCTATTACCCTTTGCCCCAAGTCATTATATCCTGTCCATCAATCATACTACCATAAACATCACTAATCTCCTTTGACATAAGGAATGTAGACTTCATGGCCCCAAACCACTTATCTCGTAATCTCAGTCCTCACGATTCTATGCCCTGACATCATAACACCCCCATGACGCAAGGATCTGTACAAGGATCTGGACACAATTCCCGGAAGCTGAAAACGTCCCAGTTCTTCCATGGCCTGTGTACTCACCAGATATGTCATAATTTGTGCATGTTTGGGATGCTCTGGATCGACGTGTACGACAGCGTGTTCCAGTTCAACTTCACACAGTCATTGAAGAGGAGTGGGACAACATTCCACAGGCCACAATCAACAGCCTGATCAACTCTATGTGAAGGAGATGTGTCGCGTGACAGGCAAATGGTGGTCACACCAGATACTGACTGGTTTTCTGATCCACACCCCTACCTTTTCTTAAGGTATCTGTGACCAACAGATGCATATCTGTATTCCCAGACATGTGAAATCCATAGATTAGGGTCTAATGAATTTATTTCAGTTTACTGATTTCCTTATGAACTGTAACTCAGTAAAATCGTTGAAATATTTGGATGTTCCGTTTATATTTTTGTTCAGTGTAATATGCCGAGTGATTCCGAGTGTGTATACTACGTGAAAACAAACGTTTACATTTTTAAAATAATTTTCCTCACCAGAGGATTACCATATCTTAGAAATTATGTGAACGTTATTTAATAGTTTATACAAATGTAATTTAAATTTAACGGACATTTTATTTTAATTTTTGGGGGCGGGGGGACCCCGTGTCGTACCCTGCCGACCCCTCGCCCCACAGTTTGGGAACCACTTTCCTAACCTGCCACATGAATTATCCTAACCTGCTGCGTAAATTCTCGTAACCTGTTACGAAAAAGTCACTTCCGGTCGTAGCTGTACTCCCTCTAGTCAGAACCCTGTCAGTGATCTCCACCTGTTCCTGCTCCAGGGTCACTCACTCGGATGCAGTTTCCCAAATGGAACACTATTCCCTTTATAGTGCACTAGAGATTGTGGTCAAAAGTAGTGCACTATTAAACGTAATAGCCATTTGGGATGCATCTTGACTGTGTCCTTGTTTTATTGATCTTGTAGGAGATCCCCCCGTTTGAGACGAAGGGGGTGATGAGGGCTAGCTTCTCATCGAGAGATGCAGACAACCACACAGCCTTCATCAGGATCAAAACCAACGCTCCCAACGGAGACCAGTTTATCATACTGCCAGTGGAGGTGGAGGTCACCTCAGGTATTATTCATTCATTCATTCATTCATTCATTATAAGACATGTCTGTCACCTGTAACCTTGTGCTCATGTGACCTCAACATTGGAACATAGGACCGGTATAACCTGTGTTCTTGATAGCTAAGGCTGGGTTGGCATTAAATTGCCACAGGTCTATCTGGCTACAAGGACCAATTTGAATTATAATAATAATAATAATAATATGCCATTTAGCAGACGCTTTTATCCTTACAGTCATAATTAGTAAGAACATACTTAATTGAGCTATGTCAGTTTAAGCTCCTATTTCGGTTGTCTGGTTAGGGACGAGGCTTAAATAACTTTTTAAAGGATCTTTTAATGAACCATCATTTAACTAATGGTTTAGTCTCAGTCTGTTGACTGGTCCACATGAGGCTGATACTGTCTGTCTGTATGGTCTCTTCCCTCTATCCCCTGGGATATACTCCTCCACAGAGATGCTAGACTTTGGTACGCTACGGTCACAAGATCGCCCGAAACAATTGAATTTACATCTACTAAATTCGGGAACAAAAGATGTTGCAATCACAGTAAGTAGCTTGGTACTTCCTCCTCTTGTCTTCTGTTGACCCCTGTTGACCCCTGTTGACCCCTGTTGACCCCTGTTCTGACGGACAGTTAATGCTGTATTCTTTGCTTTACAGAGTATACGGACGACGCCATCAAACGAAGCGGTTGCGATACATTTCAAAGCGATCACGCTAAAAGCAGGAGAGAGTAGTTTTACCAAAGTTGCAAGTATTCGTTTTGATGGTAAGTGATGTGATATTTTGAAACGTTAAATCACTGAATTGAGAAACCTGACATATTAACCATGGAAACCAAAACCATTACATTTTATTGCTAACCTTATAAAACTCAATGAATAGAAATAACATTACATTTTTAGATATTTAACCTTTCAGTTGGTGTCTTAGAAAAGAAGAAAAGCTATTTGGAAAAGCTATTTATAAATACCATGCTTTTAAATCAGTGGTATTCACATTTTTTCTCAGCGGGTTTACTGAGTGTAGAAAGCATTAGGAACACTTGCTCTTTCCATGCCAGAGACCAGGGATGGGCTACATTGATAGGGGGGGGGGGCAAAAAAACTCAAGAGGGGCTGCAGTTAATTTTGTGCAATTCTGCACATTTTGCCATGGGGTGTAAAGAAAATGATGCTGCTTTTAAAGCTATACTGAACAAAAATATAAACGCCACATGTAAAGTGTTGGTCGCATGTTTCATGAGCTGAAATAAAAGATCCTGTACGTACAAAAAGCTTATTTCTCTAAAATATTGTGCACAAATTTGTTTACATCCCTGTTAGTGAGCATTTCTCCTTTGCCAAGATAATCCATCCACCTGACAGGTGTGGCATATCAAGAAGCTGATTAAACAGCATGATCATTACACAGGTGCACCTTGTGCTGGGGACAATAAAAGGCCACTCTAAAATGTGCAGTTTTGTCACACAACACAATGCTACAGATGTCTCAAGTTTTGAGGGAGCGTGCAATTGACTTGCTGACTGCAGGAATGTCCACCAGAGCTGTTGCCAGAGAATTGAATGTTCATTTCTCTACCATACGCATCATTTTAGAGAATTTGGCAGTACGTCCAATCGGCTTCACAACCGCAGACCACGTGTATGGCGTCGTGTGGGCGAGTGGTTTGCTGATGTCAATGTTGTGAACAGAGTGCCCCATGGTGGCGGTGGGGTTATGGTATGGGCCGGCATAAACTGCGGACAACGAACACAATTGCATTTTATCGATGGCAATTTGAATGCACAGAAATACCGTGACGAGATCCTGAGGCCCATTGTCGTGCCATTCATCCACCATCATCACCTCATGTTTCAGCATGATAATGCACGGCCTCATGTCGCAAGGATCTGTACACAATTCCTGGAAGCTGAAAATGTCCCTGTTCTTCCATGGCCTGCATACTCACCAGACATGTCACCCATTGAGCATGTTTGGGATGCTCTGGATCAACGTGTACGACAGCGTGTTCCAGTTCCCGCCAATATCCAGCAACTTCGCACAGCCATTGAAGAGGAGTGGGACAACAGGCCACAATCAACAGCCTGATCAACTCTATGCGAAGGAGATGTGTCGCGCTGCATGAGGCAAATGGTCGCACCAAAACTGACTGGTTTTCTGATCCACGCCCATACTTTTTTTTTTTTTAAGGTATCTGTGACCAACAGATGCATATCTGTATTCCCAGTCATGTGAAATCCATAGATTAGGGCCCAATGAATTTATTTCAATTGGCGGATTTCCTCATATGAACTGTAACTCAGTAAAATGTTTGAAATTGTTGCATGTTGTGTTTATATTTTTGTTCAGTATATATTGTTTTTGGCAACCCCACTGCAGTTCCCCCACGACCTCGACTTTGAATACCACTGCTTTAAAATATATTTAATATGACCTGTTCTTGTGACATTCTCTTATCTATGGATTGAATATGTTATTTTATTTTCCCAATGTTTTTTGTTAACAGCATCAAAAGCACAAAGACCAGTTCAGTTTTCTGGTAAAATAACAGTGAAGGTTAAAGAGAGAAAGTCCTTTAAGCTTGAAGTCCCGTACCAAGCAGATGTGCTACAAGGGTAAGAGTGTATTTGCTCATTTTGTTTTTTACAGTTTCCGGATTTGAAACATTCATGATGTCTTAGATGGTAGGATACATGTGTGTTGGTTCATTCATGATTTAACAGGTCTTGGTTAGTTCATAGTTCAATTATGTTCCTGTAGAATCCAGTTTAATTTAAATACACCGTGGACCCAGATTATGCCCTGGACTTTCAATGGGGATGCTTTTTAGTCCAGGATTAGTTTTGTACTGGGGTCAGACTAAACTGGCCCTGTATGTTCGTCCCATCGGGTCTGATGTGATCTCTCTCCTTTTCTCCTGGCCCTCCAGCTATCTGGCCTTTGACCACACAGCCACGTTGTTCCACATCAGAGACAGCCCAGAGGTCCCTGTGAACAGACCCATCTTCCTAACCAACACCTTCAGCTTTGCTGTCCGCATACACAACGTCACCCTGCCAGATGAGGCCAAGACCATGTTCAACGTGAGTTCAGGGGGGCTGTATGTTTGGCAGGGCTGATCTATGATCAGGCCCCCCCCCTTGTCTATGGAATCGTATTAATTCTGATCTAAAAGGCTAAACTGATCCTATCTAGCACTCGTATTCTGAGATGTTTTTGTGAATTCTGAGAAATGTTTCAAACCAGAATGAAACAGGGAGGTCCTACCTGAAAATATGTTCCTTTTCTGTTGTAAAACATTTTGCTACGGTGTGGCCTGCTGTGAAGAGCCTGCTGTTTTCCTATCTGGCCTGCTGTGAAGAGCCTGCTGTTTTCCCATCTCTGTCAGGTTCAGAACCTCAGCGCCCCCGTTCTAAGCCTGCTGTTTTCCCATCTCTGTCAGGTTCAGAACCTCAGCGCCCCCGTTCTAATCCCTCCTCACGAGTCTCGCTACGTCTTCCCCCTGTTTCGCCCCGTTCTCCTGGGCCCCCACATCGAAGCAAAATCCTCCCCATCACCACGCATCCAGTTACCTCCCCCCAGGGGCCCCCACACAGGGTACCCAGAGGTCACACCCTACACCCTACACACAACCTACACCCCCACACCAAACCCCCCCACCAAAAACCCCCCAAACCCCCCACACACCCCACACACCCCCACAACCCAACACCTACCACCCCCTACCCACCCCAACACCACCACACACCTTTCCACCCTACACACCCTAAAAACCCCCCCAAAAACCCCACAACACCCCACAAACCCACACAAACCTAACCCACTTCCACACACTACACGCCTACCAAAACCTACACACACATACACACACTTACACACACATACACGCACATACACACACCTACACAAACTTACACACACTTACACACACCTACACACACATACAGAAACACACATTCACCTACACACACATACACAAACACACACCTACACACACATACAGTGAGGGAAAAAAGTATTTGATCCCCTGCTGATTTTGTACGTTTGCCCACTGACAAAGAAATGATCAGTCTATAATTTTAATTGTAGGTTTATTTGAACAGTGAGAGACAGAATAACAACAAAAAAATCCAGAAAAGCGCATGTAAAAAATTTTATAAATTGATTTGCATTTTAATGAGGGAAATAAGTATTTGACCCCTTCTCAAACAGAAAGATTTCTGGCTCCCAGGTGTCTTCTATATAGGTAACAAGCTGAGATTAGGAGCACACTCTTAAAGGGAGTGCTCCTAATCTCAGTTTGTTACCTGTATAAAAGACATCTGTCCACAGAAGCAATCAATCAATCAGATTCCAAACTCTCCACCATGGCCAAGACCAAAGAGCTCTCCAAGGATGTCAGGGACAAGATTGTAGACCTACACAAGGCTGGAATGGGCTACAAGACCATCGCCAAGCAGCTTGGTGAGAAGGTGACAACAGTTGGTGCGATTATTCGCAAATGGAAGAAACACAAAAGAACTGTCAATCTCCCTCGGCCTGGGGCTCCATGCAAGATCTCACCTCGTGGAGTTGCAATGATCATGAGAACGGTGAGGAATCAGCCCAGAACTACACGGGAGGATCTTGTCAATGATCTCAAGGCAGCTGGGACCATAGTCACCAAGAAAACAATTGGTAACACACTACGCCGTGAAGGACTGAAATCCTGCAGCGCCCGCAAGGTCCCCCTGCTCAAGAAAGCACATATACAGGCCCGTCTGAAGTTTGCCAATGAACATTTGAATGATTCAGAGGAGAACTGGGTGAAAGTGTTGTGGTCAGATCATACCAAAATCGAGCTCTTTGGCATCAACTCAACTCGCCGTGTTTGGAGGAGGAGGAATGCTGCCTATGACCCCAAGAACACCATCCCCACCGTCAAACATGGAGGTGGAAACATTATGGTTTGGGGGTGTTTTTCTGCTAAGGGGACAGGACAAGTTCACCGCATCAAAGGGACGATGGACGGGGCCATGTACCGTCAAATCTTGGGTGAGAACCTCCTTCCCTCAGCCAGGGCATTGAAAATGGGTTGTGGATGGGTATTCCAGCATGACAATGATCCAAAACACATGGCCAAGGCAACAAAGGAGTGACTCAAGAAGAAGCACATGAAGGTCCTGGAGTGGCCTAGCCAGTCTCCAGACCTTAATCCCAGAGAAAATATGTGGAGGGAGCTGAAGGTTCGAGTTGCCAAACGTCAGGCTCGAAACCTTAATGACTTGGAGAAGATCTGCAAAGAGGAGTGGGACAAAATCCCTCCTGAGATGTGTGCAAACCTGGTGGCCAACTACAAGAAACGTCTGACCTCTGTGATTGCCAACAAGGGTTTTGCCACCAAGTACTAAGTCATGTTTTGCAGAGGGGTCAAATACTTATTTCCCTCATTAAAATGCAAATCAATTTATAACATTTTTGAAATGCGTTTTTTCTGGATTTTTGTTGTTGTTATTCTGTCTCTCACTGTTTTAAATAAACCTACCATTAAAATTATAGACTGATCATGTCTTTGTCAGTGGACAAACGTACAAAATCAGCAGGGGATCAAATACTTTTTTCCCCCTCACTGTACATACACACACATTCACCTACACACACACATACTCATTGGGAGAGTTAGGGGTTACATGGTGTTTATGGCTTCACTGAAACATGCTGCTAAAATGTACTGCTAGGTTTCCTGGATGTACCTTGGACAGGCATGCAGGCTACTCCTTTGGCTCATATAAATACATCCTCCTTGCACAATCTTACTAGACTCTTGTCTCTGGGAGGATCTCAGTTGCATTTCCTTGATTCCTCTGGTCCTCTCTCCTCACAACCCATTGGATGAGAAGGTCAGACCTGGGTTTTGAGAAGGAGGAGAGCAGAGAGGATGTGAGGAATTAAGTAAATGCAATTGAGTTTCTCACACTCATTGTTTTTCTAACATGCCCTCTGTTCTGTCCAGCCCCTGTTAATAACAGTCAGTTTGTCCTCTGTTCTGTCCAGCCCCTGTTAATAACAGTCAGTTTGTCCCTGTTCTGTCCAGCCCCTGTTAATAACAGTCAGTTTGTCCTCTGTTCTGTCCAGCCCCTGTTAATAACAGTCAGTTTGTCCTCTGTTCTGTCAGGCCCTGTTAATAACAGTAAGTTTGTCCTACTGTTCTGTCCAGCCCATGTTAATAACAGTAAGTTTGTCCTCTGTTCTGTCCAGGCCCCTGTTAATTAACAGTTCAGTTGTCCCCTGTTTGTCCAGACCCTGTTAATAACAGTCAGTTTGTCCTCTGTTCGTCCAGCCCCTGTTAAACACAGTCAGTGTCCTCTTGTTCTGTCCAGCCCATGTATAACAGTCAGTTTGGCCTTGTTCGTCCGCCACTGCTTAAGAAAACAGTCAGTTTGTCCCCTGTTCTGTCCAGCCCCTGTTTAATAAACAGTCGTTTGTCCCCGTTCTGTCCAGCCCCTGTAATAACAGTCAGTTGTCCTCTGTTCTGTCAAGCCTGGATAACAGTAAGTTTGTCCACTGTTCTGCAAGCCACTGTTAATACAGTCAGTTGTCCCCTGTTCGTCCAGACCCTTGTTAATAACAGTCAAGTTTGTCCTCTGTTCCTGTCCCAGCCCCTGTTAAATAACAATCAGTTTGTTCCCCTGTTCTGTCCAGCCCCTGTTGAATAACAGTCAGTTTGTCCTCTGTTTCTGTCCAGCCCTGTTAATACAGTCAGTTGTCCCATGTTCTGTCCACCCCTGTTAATACAGTCAGTTTGTCCTCTGTTCGTCCAGGCCCCTGGTCCTGTCCCCCAGTCTAAAGGAGCACCTCTTGGACTTTGGGGTCTGCAGTTCAACAGACATCAGGCAGAATGACTTTAATAGTGTTCAACAGCAACCCCATAGAGTGTGAGACACCACACTGACCCATTAGAGGTGAGACACACAACTGACCCCATCGAGGTGAGGAACACACTGACCCAATAGAGGTTGAGCACACATGACCCCATAGAGGTGAGACACACAATGAAACCCTTCTTAGAGGTGAGGACACACTTACCCCTTAGAGGTGAGACCACAATGACCCATTAGAGGTGAGACACACACTGACCCCATAGAGGTTGAGGCCACACACTGACCCCATAGAGGTGAGACAACACACTGAATGACACCTTAGAGACACACAATGACCCATAGAGGTGAGACAAAACTGACCCCATAGAGGTGAGACCACACCATGACCCCTTAGCTAGAGTGAGACACATGACCACATAGAGTGGAGAGCACACACTGACCCCATAGAGGTGAGACCACACACTGACCCTTAGAGGGAGACACACTGACCCCTTAGAGACACACACTGACCCCTTAGAGGTGAGAACACTGACCCCTTTAGAGGTGAGACACACACTGCACAATAGAGGTGGGACACACACTGACCCTTAGAGGTGAGGACACACACTGACCCTTAGTAGAGTGAGACACCACACGGACCCCTTAGAGTAGACAGGACATGACCCTTAGGGTGAGACACACACTGACCCTGAGCGACACCCACTGCCACTTAGAGTTGGTGAGACACACACTGACCCCTTAGAGTGTGAGACACACACTGACCCCTTAGGGTGAGACAGACACTGACCCCTAGAGGTGAGACAACACAACTGGACCAATAGGGTGAGACACACATGGACCTTAGAGACACACACTGACCCCATAGAGCTGAGAACACACTGACCCCGTAGAGGGAGACACACACTGACCCCATAGAGGTGAGAAACACAATGACCCCCTTAGAGGGAGACACACACTGACCCCTTAGAGGTGAGGAACACACACTGACCCCTTAGAGGTGAGACACACATGACCCCTAGAGGTGAGACACACACTGACCCCTTAGAGGGAGAACACACATGACCCTTAGAGACAACACTTGACCCCATAGAGGTTGAAGACACAAACTGGTACCTTAGAGGTTGAGACACACACTGACCCCTTTAGAGACACACACTGACCCTCGAGGTGAGACACACACTGACCTTAGAGGGGAGGAACAACCACGGACCCATAGAGGTGAGACACACATGACCCCTAGAGACACACACTGACCCATAGAGGTGAGACACACACTGACCCCTTAGAGGGGACACACACTGACCCATAGAGGTGAGACCACACACTGACCCCATAGAGGTGAGAACACACTGCCCACGTAGAGGACACACACTGACCCCTTAGAGTGAGACACACACTGACCCCTTAGAGACACAACACATAACCCAAAATGTGAGACACACACTGACCCGCATAGAGGTGAGCACACACTGACCCCATAGAGGTGTGAGACACACACTGACCCCTTAGAGGACACACACTGGACCCCTGAGGTGAGACCACACACTGACCACTAGAGACACACACTGACCCCTAGAGACACCCCACACTGACCCCATAGAGGTTGAGGACACCACAATGACCCATAGAGGTGGACACACAATGACCCCATAGAGGTGAAGACACACACGACCCCATAGAGGTGAGGACACACCACTGACCCTTAGAGCACCACATGACCCATTAGAGACACACACTGACACTAGAG